TTTTTTACATTTTTTGTCTATCCAAGATCAGTGGCTCCCTGTGCTTCTGATCACTGGGGACATATGTTGGGTGCTGCTATGCGTGGCCGGCCCATGGTGCCCTGGCAGGCCCAGTCTCTGCCCTCCCAGCATTCCCAGTCAATTGAGGGGATGGACTGGTGTGTCTGGTGGCACTTAGTTCTCAGGATTCTTGATGCTGTGTGATGGTGGTGCAGTAGCGGCATGTGTGTGGGGGGAGGTGTTCTCACAGTGCTGGGGGTTATTTCCCAGGGCGGCTTTTCCATCTCTGACTGCATTGCAATCTCCAGCATTCCCAGAGGAGTCAGTGTCCTCTGCCTAGGCACACTTGAGCAAAACTCACAACTGAGTCTTCTGGCTCAAGAAAAAAGGAAAAGGGTTGAGAGGGCAGCAGTAGAGTGCTTACCTAGCATGCTTGAGGTCCTGGGTTCTACCCTGAGACACTCCAGGGCCAGAAGCAGCCCTTGTTTGCAACGTAGCTTCTCCAGTTCTTTCTGTGCATGTGAACATTTGCCTTTGGGCTAGAACGATCTTCTCTGGGCCTTTTTATTTTTTTTATTATTATTAAAATAAAAGTGTGTCATACTGTAAACATCCTTCTGCATCTTGCTTTTCATGGAGGTGAGATGGAGCCATCTTTCACGGGTGTGAGCAAGACCACCCTCTTTCCCTTCCCTTCCCCTCCTCTCTTTCCAGCAGTTGCCCCTTGATGCCATTGAGCAGTCCCCTGTTTACATTTCAGTTGTTCTGCCTAACAGTAAAGGCTGTGGCCACTCTCCCACATATGTGTGTATGGATGCTCATGGTTTTCAACACCTCCACATGGTCCCTCGCTAGTCTCCCTTCCCACCACTCTGCCCCTTGCTTTCTCTGTACCAGCCACACTGGTCCGCTTGCTCCTGTATGCACATATCAGGTGTATTCCTACCTCAGGACATTTGCTCTTTCTTATACCTCCGTTGCTCTTCCCCCAGGTATCTCTGGAACTCACTTTCTCATTTCCTTCAGTTCTGTGCTCTGACGTTAAGACCTTTCCTGGCCACCTTTTCCTCATGCCTACATACATCCTACCTCTTTACCCAGTTCCTTTTCTCCATAGCACTTATCACCCTTTGCCTTTTTTTGTCTGTCTCCTACCCACAGCCCCTTAAAGGCAGGAATCTGTCTGCTTTGTTTACTACTTATGTCTCTGGGCTTTGGGCAGTGCCTCCATGTAGTGGGTGCTTAACAAAAGTTTTAAGTGAATGAAGTCCCTGAGATTTCTACAAACCTGACCTGGCCAGCTCCCACCAGGGTCTCATGGCTGTCCCTTGGCACCCTCAGTCCTGCCTCTTTTTTTGACATTCCTCACTACACCTTCGGGCCTGAGCCTGTGTTCGTCTCATTGTCCTTGCCCTGTTCTGGGAACCTCATTCCTCCCTTCTGAACATGCCCAACTCCCTCTCTCCAGAGGAATCCTGCCTGTAGTCTGATATCGAGCCTGTGCCATTCTGCAGTCCTGGAGGTGGTCTCACCTTCAGGGCTGTGACATGAACCCTGGGCACAGGTGGCCTGTGGTCAAAAGAGCTCTGTGGCCTGCAGCTCTGGGCTATGCAGATGGCTGCGCAGCATTTCTGAACCTCACTTTCCTCATCTGAAAAGTGGGCCAGGAAAACAGCCACCTCTCATTGTTGAGGTGTGGGTCCTCAGGAAGTGATGCAGCTATGGTGTTTATTTCACCCTTGCTGTGACCCCCTGGGGTGGGCCAGGGCAAGGCTGCCAGCTTTTTCTTTTTCTTTTTTTTTTTTTTTTGGCTGCCAGCTTTTTCCCATGGGAGTGGTAACATCTAATGGTGATTGTTTAGAGCCCTGTGGAAATAGGAGGGAGCCCTGCCGAGACTCACCTTTTCCTGCAGAAGGAGGGGGCATGCCTGTCACCTGAGCCTGGGAGGGCTCCATGTGGCTTTCTCTGGCCTGGCCTGGCAGGTAGGGATGCCTGGCCTGGCAGGTAGGGATGACTGACCACAAATAGGCCTCTGGTTTCCTGGCTGGTGCTCCCATGGCAGTCCCTCAGAGAGGAGGGAGAAAGCCCAGGACTCATAGCCTTTGTTGCCCAACACTAATCCTAATTTCTCTATATATGTTTTAACACACCCAGAGCCCTAGCTTCCTCAGGGCTCCAGCAGCTGCTCCCATTCTTGCGTGGAGTGGGGGCAGAGCCTAAGGGTCCACCTGAGAGCTGAACCTACTTCCCATCTCTCCCTCCTTTCAAGCCTGGGCCTCTGGCTGCTTGGGAAGCATCTGCCCTTCCACTCACTTCCTGTGTATCTGTTGTCAGTTTCTGCTTAAGTCACCGTCCGTGGAGGCAAGGCACTGCTGACGGAATGAGATCCACACTCCGCACCGTAGCCCTGATGTTCGGCAGGACCTGACCCCCTAGCCCCTCACTAATCTCAGCCCCTCCTCTCTTCTCCCTTGGCCTCCTTCCTGTTTTTCCATTTGCCAGGTGTGTTTCTATCGCAGGGCCTTTGCACTTGCTTTCATGCTCACATGCTTACTTCGTCCAAGCCTTGCTCAGCTATCACTTTCTTAAGGGCTTTGCTAGCCCTTGAACTAGCAGCCCCCACCTTCTTCTCTCTATTCAGCTTCCACCTTCTCTGTTCTGCATTCTCCATGTTTCTGTTTACTGACCCACCATGTATTTCTTTAAGGGAGGGGGAGCACTTGTGTTGAGATATAATTCTTATACCACATAATTCACTCATTTAAAGGGTATAAGTCAGTGTTTTATTTTCTGTTTTTCTTCAATGCTGGGGATGGAACCCATGGCCTTGTACATGCTAGGCAAACACTGTACCACTGAGCTGAACCCCTAACCTACAAAGCAGTGGTTTTTAATATCCACAGGATTGTGCACCCATTATTATAGTCATCTGCAGAGTGTTTTCACCACCCCACAAAAAAAACCCACATCCATTAGCTGTCAATCCTCATTTCCCCAACTCCCCAACCCCTGGCAACCACCAGTCTGCTTTCAGTTTCTGCCTATTTTGAACATTTCATGTGAATGAAATCCTACACTGGTGGTCCTTTGAGTCTGACTTCTTTCACTTGGAATCAGTGTGTTCAAGGTTAGCCCACATTGTAGCATTGTCAGTACTTTCTCCATCATCTGGGTCTGCCACTGCTATTACCTGTTCACCAGTTGGTGGACATTCAGGTTGCTTTCCCTTTCTGGCTGGTGCGAATAAGGCCGCTGTGCATGTTTATACACAATTGTTTGCATGAGCATGCATTTCCTTTCCGTTGGGTGTATACCTAGGAGTAGAATTGCTGGGTCATGGTAAGTCTCCATTAACTTTTTGAGGAATTGTCACACAGTTTCCAAACAGACATGGGTGTTGTTTCAGTCCATAACAGGGCACTGTTGGCCCCCAAGCCACGTGGGTTCCAGTTGCCAGGCTTTCCTAGGCTCCATGTCGGTAAAGATTGGTGATGGCTGAGGGCCCTGGCTCTAAAGTTTAACAGCCCAGGTTCCAGTTCTTTGTCAGTCACTAGGGATGTGATCTTGGGTGACTTTTACTTGGAGTCTTAGTGTCATCAGCCTCAGCAGAGAATAATATAGACCCCACAGCACAAGACTGCTGTGAGAAACAGACACACCAGTGCTCAGTAGATCCCTGGCTGTGGCCGTCTCTGACCCTCACCCTCATGCTCCAATCTGGCAGGTAACCCCTGCTCCTCGGGGCACCCAGGGTGGAGAGAGGTCACTTCCTCAGCTGTCCACTTGGCAGTCTAGTTAGGTGGGATGAGCTGAGAAGCTGTCTCACACTGCCCCCACCCTTCCGCGGCCACCCCTTCCTGAGCACGGGTTCTGCCAGGGCTGGGGGCAGGGTCTGCTGCTGTACTGCAAGCTTAGTTCACTTTGCTGCTGTTGCTGCCACCCACAAATCCTGTTGAATCCCCACAGCAGCTGGGCTAGGCTTGGATGAGCTGCACCCACCTTTCCCAGGGCTCAACGGCCTCCTGATTTAGGAGGGCTGAATTGTCAGCATAGTCAAAGCTTCTAGGGCCAAGAGGGACTCAGGCCAGAGGCCAGATCCCCAGTTAGTATCAGGGAAGCCAAGGGCCCTGAGTTGGTATCTCAGAGACCCCTGTTCCCTGTGGACTCGGGCTGTAGTTAGCAGCTGCTCCAGGCAGTAGCTGGAAAGGTTTGGCAAGATTGCCAATCTCTGGCACTTGGAGCAAGCTGCCATGACCACAGGCTTGTCAGTTCTTTGAACACTGAACAGTGCTGGGCACACGGGAAGCATCATACAATTTTGGCTGTTGTAATTGTCATTGTTGTCATTATTGCTGGTGAAGAAGTCACTCTGGAGTCTGGCAGAACCAGGCTGAGAGCCCAGCTCAGCAGTTGACAACTGGCTGGTGACTTGGGAAGTTTACCTGGCCTTTGCCTCTTATCTGTATAGTGAGGGTTAAATGAAGTGGCCAATAGGATCTTGGCTGGAGGCAGGAAATGGCACTGTAGGAACCAGGCAAGGTCAAGGTGGTGGGGGTGGTGCTGGGAGCACAGGTGGGCTCCCTGGGGAAGGGCAGCTGCCTCCAGCCTGACCTCACTCGTGATTACCTTGTGTTCCTTCTCTTTTCTTTATTGTGAGCTTTTGAGTTTTTACAACAAATATACTAGCACATTCTTGTGAAAGTACAGTAACTTTGTTTTGGTCTTGTTTCTGTTTTGGTAATACTGGCGTTTGAACCCAGGGCCTTGGAACACTGTACTACTTGAGCCACACCCCCAGCCTTTTTGCTTTAGTTATTTTTCATAGGATCTTATGCTTTAGCTGTGGGTGGGCCAAGATCCTCCTACCTTTGCCTACCATGTAGCTGGGATTACAGGTGTGAACTACCACATCCTGGTAAATACAGACACTTTGTATTATAAAGTGAAAAGTGAGAGTTTCACCCCCTTGACCTCATGCTCAACCTGTCCCATCTTTGCAGGGAGGAGGTGCAGGAGAACTGTGTGCGGTGGCAGAAGAGGTTCACCTTTGTGTGTAAGATGAGTGCCAACCCAGCCACGGGCCTGCTGGACCCCTGCATTTTCCGTGTGTCTGTGCGCAAGGTAAGGTTGGGCTCCTGGAGCAGGGCCAGGAGCTGTGAGCCTAGGGCTGGGGTGGCATGGGGTTGATGGTCTGGTGAGGATTTGCTTTGCTCCTTTTCTTGTCCTCCTCTTGAAGAGGTCAGATTTAGGGGAATCTTGGGAGACCCACCCATAAAGTGCCAGGGGTTACTTAGTGGTCTTGCTGGTTTTGTCTCCTTCTCTGTGCAGGAACTGAAAGGCGGAAAGGCTTATTCTAAGGTAAGAGATACTGTGTGAAGGAATGGTGGGATGGGATGGAGTGGGGGGTGTCGGGACAGACATGAGAGAGGTTTTCAGAAGACCTTCCAACCCCCTCTTTGTCCTACATGAGATGTATTATTTTGGGGGATTATCCTTATTGATAGTCTTTGTACTTAATATAAAGGTAGTGTTTGCTTGTTGCAATACAAATAATATAGAAGTTCATAGAGTGAAGGGCCTTATTTCTGTACCCCTTCCTCTCTCCTTCCTCCCAGGCCCTCACCATTGGGGTTGTTTAGGATCTTTCTAGACTGTGTGCAGTAATGGTGGTCCTGGGGATTGAGCCCAGGGCCTTGGGCATGCTGTACCACTGAGACACACCTCTAGCCCCTGACCTTTTAAGGAAAAAAAAAAAACATACAGAGCAGTGAGTAAAAACATGCATGTGAGTGAAATGTAAATGTAAAGAAATATAAAGTGAGCACCTTCTGTGTGTATTCCGTGCCTGCAAACAATCAGATTTTTTAAATAGGCAGATTCTACAGCTTGAGTTTTTTACTCACCCAATACATTGTGGTCAGCTTTTTGTGTCAACACAGACTTGTGTATGGTTTCTAATGACAGCGGTGTGTCCCATTGCGTGGCTGTCAGTTCTTGCTGATCTGTGCTAGAACCTCCACCACAAGGTTTATACCTATTGTCAAGGAGGAAACCAAGGCTACCAGAAGTGCCTGGACCTGGTACTGACCAGGCCTAGTTTCAGTCCTGTCTCTGTTGTTCAAGCTATGTGTCCCTGATCAGGTCACTTCCCTCCTTGAACTTAGTCCCCTCATCTATAAAATGGGGTGCCTCTGTGAGTCAGTGGCAGGGCCAGAATCCAAACTTGGTTCCCTGCTTCTGGAGCCTGTCCCCTGACACCACAGTTAGACTCTTACATGCAGCTGGTATTCAGTAATTGTCTCTGAATTGGTTTGCTTGTCCCTGAAGCCCCCAGGCTTGGCACTTCCTCGATTCAACCTCAGTTTCCCCTCTGGTCAGGCTAATGTGGCTTCCATCTGGCTTTTGCACTCTTCCCGTGGTCCTGCCCCATCCCTCCCCATCCCTCACTCCTCGCCTGGACTCAGTGTGAGAGAAGCAGTACCCGGGGCCTATCTAGACCCTGACCACCAGCCCCTCACTCAGTGCGGGGATCATGCCCACTCTGTAGAGGATCCCTTCCTAAGCCCCCACAGGGGTGTTCCATTACCCCGTCCCACCACTGAGTTCCCATGGGCCTTCCCTCCTCTTTTTGCCTGCTCTCCTGGCAGCTCCCTACAGCACAGCCTTGTTTGCCAGGGAACAATGCGTCTGTGTCACAGACAACAATGTCCTTTCATCTCAGGCGTGTTGGCCCTGATGCACGCTGGGACTCAGTACAAAGGGCGCTTTGTATGACCCAGGGATGTGAGCTCCTTGCTTTGCCACATTGGTGCCACTGATCCAGGGGACTCTGTCCTTGGGTCCTGGTTATGCAACAGTCAGCCAGGATTGTGGGGTGGGCGCCGAGACTTTGCCTGTCCTCCCCTCCCCCACCTCTGCGAAGTCAACCAGTCTGGTGCATCTGCTGTCCTGCGCCCACACTCTCTACAGTCTCCCACATATTCCTTTTCCCCTTTCAGCTGGGCTTTGCTGACTTGAACCTGGCGGAGTTTGCAGGTTCAGGCTCTACTGTGCGCTGCTGCCTGTTGGAGGGATATGACACAAAGAACACCCGCCAGGACAACTCTATCCTGAAGGTACCAAGGATTCTGCTGCCTCTTCTACCCTACCAAGGGATGGGTACGACGTGGTTCCTCATAATCCCCTGGAGGGTTGTTAAAAATACAGGTTCTCAGCTGGGCATCGGTGGCTCATGCCTGTAATCCTAGCTACTCAGGAGGCAGGGATCAGGAGAATCATGCAAAGCCAGTCCAGGCAAAGTTTGTGAGACCCTATCTCAAAAAAAAACCCTTCACAAAAAAAGGGCTGGTGGAGTGGCTCAAAGTGAAGGCCCTGAGTTCAAACCCCAGTACCACACAAAAAAAAAAAAATTACAGTTTCTCATCTGGACAGGCAGCAGCTGATGCTGGGAACATAATGGGCCCTGGACTCAGGATCTCAGTTTTCCCATCCATAGTTGGGAGTGGACCCCCAAAGTTTGTAAAGGTTTGGTGAGATGACCCTGCGCTGAGTACTTGCCCTCTCCCATCTGGTGACCGCTGATAGTAGCACCATGGCTTATGATATCTGAGGTTAGCTTCAGGTTTGTATAGGAGAGAGTCAAGACTCAGAAGTTCTGTCATTTGCCTGGGATCATAAACACTCAATCCCCCATCTTTTGACTCCACAGCCCAGCTCCTAAGCATTGCCTCATACGACCTGAGGCAGCCTGGCTTCTTGAGGAGTGTCCATGAGTGAAAGAGTGATGTCCTGAACCTGTGTGCACTATCAAAGCTCCGAGGGCCCAGGGCCAGGTCCACTATGATGGCCAAACAGGGTGGGCAGCTCCCCCCCACCCAAGCAGCTGCTTCCTTTGGCTCTTGGAAACAGAAATATCTAGGTTTCTGCTGCCAACGTTCCTTTCTTCCTCCTTTCTACATCCTTCTACCAGGCTAAGAAAACCAGCTTGTCCTAATGCCATCTCTGAGAGCCAACCTAGTAGTGGCTAGCTGTGCCTGGTGCACAAGGTGGTGACCAGAAGCCCCAGAGGCATCAGAAATATCTGAGCTGCTGAATGTGGTAACACACGCCTACAGAGTGGCTCGAGTGGTAGAGTGCCTGCCTTGCTAGCGTAAGGCCCTGAGTTCAAACCCTAGTACCACCAAAAAAAAAAAAAAAGGAGAAAGAAAAAGAGATGGACTAAGCTGATTGGTGAGAGCCAGGCCCCAACAATGGGCCTGTGTACCCTCAGCCTGAATAGTCAAGAGGGTCTGGGAACCAGGTGTCTCTGCTCGAGGCTAGCTCTCCCACATCCTGTCCACAGGGTCTTGGGCAGTTACCTCTCCTTGGAATCTTGATTCATTACTCTATAACATGGGGTTCTCACCTACTTTCCTGGCCAAGTAAAATCTACAAAAAGCCTTACCAGTGGTCACCACTGAGGTCAGTGGTGGCACTGGATGAACACCTTTCCCACCCTGTCAGCTTCCGCTTGTCATTCCATTGCAGCCTAGATTTTGGAACCCAAACTTGGCCATATTTGGACCATTGCCAAAGTCTTTGCTCAAGTGGATGCTAAATTCCTAATTGGCTTCATGCTTTACCTTATTCTCTGAACTCTCACCAGTCCTAGCCTCCTGTGATGGACCTTTTGAGTGTCCCTTACCCCCACAGGGGCTCTGTGAGCCCTCTTCCCTCCCATCCCGTGAAACTCTATGCCCTTCAGCTGGGCGATGCAAGTGGGAGTGAATGTATTCCCCTCCCCAAGGAGCTCACAATCTAGTCGTAATGTGAAATCACAGGAGCTGACTTGCTGCTTGTTCCCTGTGGCAGGTGCCAACTGAGTGAACCTCATATTGCATCTCCCTGTTACTCTACTAGGCAAGCTGCAGGCTCCATTCCATCTACACAAGAAATGGGCTCATTGTGGCCAGGCAGCCATGCCTGGGCTTGGTGCAGGTGGCTGGAGCTGATTTCTCCCCTCTGTCCATAGGTTACCATTGGTATGTTCCTGCTGTCTGGAGACCCTTGCTTTAAGACGTAAGTGCCATCAGGCCCTGGGAAGAGAGGGAGCTCAGTCCTGGGCATTGCTGGTAGTGGGGAGCAAGACTCTTCCTTCCTCCAGGCTCTGTGTCTCCCCTTCTTCATCTGATCCTGAGATGGGGCACTCTAGTCATACCTATCTGTCCTCCCAAGGCCACCGTCTACTGCCAAGTCTATCACCATCCCAGGCCAGGACTCCTCTCTGCAGCTGACATGTAAGGGTGGTGGGACCAGCAGTGGCGGCGGCGGCAGCACCAACTCCCTGACAGGTTCCCGGCCTCCCAAGGCCCGACCCACCATCCTGGGCTCAGGTACTGTCCCCATCCACATGCCCCTCACCTGCTAGTGGCCCAAGCTTTGACCATGGCAGTGTTCTGTCCAGGGGAGGGGTTTAATGAGGGTGGAGGAGGATGGGGTGGGGCTGCTCATGCTGCCAGTTGCCCTCCTGGTCTGAGTGCTTCACATGGTGTGAAAATGGCGTGGCCTCCCTGCCCTTGTGGCCCTCCAGTCTAATAGGACAGGCAGGTGTTAATGGAATTATAAGTGATAAACATGTCTACCTACAGGCATGACAAGAGCTGGGAACCCACTGGAGGCCTCCCTAAGGAGGTGGTGACTGAGCTGCAGTATGTGGTATGGGGTGTGGTTAACCTGATGGAGGAACCTACTGGGAGCTCTTGACTTCCCGCTTGCCATGTGATCTTGACTGGCCATCGTGCAGTCTCAGCATCCTCCCCTGGAAAATGAGATTGGTGACAGTAACCATGTTCTAGCTTTCTTTAGGGATGAACTAAAGGAAATGTGCAAGTCTTCTGGCACACAGAGTACTCAGTAGGCACTACTTTTGTTTTTTTTTTTTTTTTTTTTTTTTTTTTTTTTTTTTTTGCAGTACTGGGGTTTGAACTTAGGACCTCATGCTTGCTAGCCAGGTACTTTTATCACTTGTCAGCCCTTTTTTGTGTTGGGTATTTTTGAGATAGGATCCTGTGAACTGTTTGCTTGGGCTGACCTTGAATTATGATCCTCCTGATGTCTGCCTCCCAAGTAGCTAGGATTACAGGTGTGCACCACCCATGCCCGGCTGGTGCTATGTTTTATTACTTTGTCATTATTGATGTTGTTATGGAAAATGGGAAGGAGCCCCCTGGTGTTCGCTGCTTCCCCCAAGATCAGGTCTGTTGCTGTGTGCAGGGCACCCAGAGGTATGAGCCTTGGCCCTGCACATCCTTTGTGGGGTGGACTCAGAGCTGGGAGGCATTAGGTCCCCAAGCTGATCATTGAGCAAGGCAGCACATGTGGCCATGATTTGTGCCACAAAGAGCCATTAGAGGGAGCACAGGCCTCACTGGGTGTCCTGTCCCCAAGGCCTGGGAGTTTGTGAGGAACCCTAGGGCCTCCAGGTCTTAGACCCAGCAAAGTGAGACCCAGAACAGAAAGCTTGACTCCTGCTTTGCCTTGGCCTGGGAACCTGGGTGCTGCATGCAAGAGTGGGGCTTCCCAGCACCATTGTTCTCTCTAGCTTTGGGAGTGGGGCCCTTGAAGAGAGAACTGTCTTGGGACCAGCACAAAATAGAAGAGGTGCCTCTCCCAGGCTGGGTGTGAGGCCCGCTTATCTCTGCAGTAATCTCCCAGCCATTTGCAAAGAGGCTTCTTACAGAGCCCTGTGGAGTTTCCTTGTGTCTCCACCTGGGTGGGGAGTGCCAGGAAAATCTGTTTTGAAGTGACCCAGGAGAGGGTTGTTGGCATATCCTTTGTCTCTGCCCTAATCCCCTCCTCCACTCCACTCTGTCACCCTGTGTGCTCACCTACCAAAGCTCATTCCAGCCTCAAGGCCTTGTGAATGCTGTTTCCTCTTTCCACATCCCTGATGCCTTCTCTGGCTCCTCCCTCCTCTGTGTCCTGAAGGTCTCAGTATTAAGTCACCACTTCAGAGAAACCTTCCCTGGCTCGCAGACTGGGCCAGGCCTCCCCACTCCCCATGGTTGTGGGTAACTGGTGCAGTTTTTGTTGAACTTTCCTCCTCACTGGCCTGCTGCAGGTACCCTGTGCAAGTAGGTCCTTGACAGATATGTGTGGAATGTGTGACCTGAGTTCAGAGAGTGACCTGTGGCTCAGGGCAGATTGCTGCTCCTCTGGACCTCAGTCTTGCTGTCTGCTAAACGGAAACACTGTGCTTCATGGGAAACTAAGTGAGAAGATTGTTGAGGATGAGGTGGCACCTGTGTAACCCTGCTCCTTCCTCCAGGCCTGCCAGAGGAGCCTGACCAGGGCCTGTCCAGCCCCGAGGAGGTATTTCACTCTGGTCATTCCCGCAACTCCAGCTATGCCAGCCAGCAGTCTAAGATCTCTGGTGAGTGGCCTTGCCCTGAACCCATAGCCTCTCACAGCCCCAGGTCCTCCATAATGACCCACCCTGTGACCACCCACCCCTCAGGCTACAGCACAGAGCACTCACGCTCCTCCAGCCTGTCAGACTTGACGCATCGCCGCAACACTTCCACTAGCAGTAGCGCCTCTGGTGGCCTCAGCATGGCTGTGGAGGGTCCTGAGAGCAGTGAGCGGGAGCACCGGCCCCCCGAGAAGCCACCTCGGCCACCCCGGCCTCTGCATCTGTCAGACCGCTCCTTTCGGTGAGAGATCCTGCTCTGTGCTCCTCAGAGAACAGATCTGAACTTCTGCTCCTTTGCCCGTGGCACAGGCACAGTAGGGTCCCCACCTCGGGGTGTTGGATGGTGGTGGTTCAACCACTGATGGTCAAAAAGGGTGCAGCCCAGGGCCAGACATGTCACACAGGCTTAGTAAACATTGCTGTTTGAGCATGGTCTGTGGGCCAAGCAGACCTGGCTTGAGCCTCAGATCCGCCACATACATGCTGTGTGGCCTTGAACTGGTTACTTACTTCTCAGTGTCCTTGTCTTCGATCAAACCAGGTAAAGGCAGCACTTACATCTAGGGTGATCCTGAGGTTAAATGAAATGCACCATGGGAGGTGCATGGTGCTGGGAGGGGTTGTTATCATTGTTGTCTTATTACTGCCCTGACTAGTGTGACTGTTTCTCCCCAACCCAGGCGAAAAAAGGACTCAGTGGAGAGCCACCCAACCTGGGTGGATGACACGCGGATCGATGCGGATGACATTGTGGAAAAGATCATGCAGAGCCAGGACTTCACAGACGGCAGCAACACTGAGGGTGAGCTGCTCACACCGAGCAACCTGGAGGGTGATGCCACCTGCTCTCAGGGCTGCCCCACCCCTACTCAGCCTCTACCCTCCCTTGTGTCCCCACAGATAGCAACCTCCGGCTGTTCGTGAGCAAAGATGGTTCCACCACACTGAGTGGTGTTCAGCTGGCCAACAGGTAGGGAGTGAAGGGCCAGGGGAGGGTGGCCAGGAGCACAAGGCTGAGAGTGCAGACTGCAGTCTCTTCACCCGGCTTCAAACTCTGGTTGACCTTGGGACTGTCACTTTCTGAGCCTGCTCCTGGTCTGTCAGGTTGTATGGACAACTCCCTCCTTCCCTAGAAACCTGTGTGGTGAGAGTGCCGGAGTTTGGAGGTAGCTCCCAGGATCACCTGGGGAAGTACCTCAGCATACAGCAGGGACTTAATACTTTCCTCCTTCTCCCTCCTGGGTTTGGGAACCCCAAAACAGTGTTGGTAATGACTCATTCATTTCTTGAACAAATATTTACTGAGTACCAGCTACACACCGGGCACTGAGCTAGGTGCCAGGGTACACAGGTTAGTGCTTGGTGACATTTGCAAATGAGGGAGTGGTAAAGTCAAGCTTTTTTTTTTTTTTCCCTTTCATTTTTCTCTTTCTCTCTCAATTTTATTTGGGGGGGGGTAGTACTAGGGTTTGAGCTCATGGCCTTATACTTACTAGGCAAACAGTCAAATACCACTTGAGCTATTTCCCCCAGAGTCAAACTTTTGCTGGAACTCTGCAGTCTGGGATGAGTACCAGGGAGTAGGGAGTAAGAGCAAGCAAGTGACCAATTGAGAGAGTAAGCAAGAGAGGGAGTGAATGAGTGAGAACGGAGGAGCTTCCTGCACAGGGTTGTGCCTAAGGCTTTTCCTTGTGTGGCTCTGGGCTGAGTGGGAAAGTGTCCATTTACTACTGTCTGTATGCAGAGCAGAAGAAACTTGGATAGGGACCTGCCCTTTTGTGCTGTTCTGCTGACCTCTGCTGGCCTGTGCTCAAAATTACAGCCTCCATCTCAGAGAAGGCCAACCTCCTAGGTTGTCCTGGGTTGTCCAAGGAGAAAACGCAGAGGCTTCTTTGGAACTTTGTAAAAAACTCCTTCCTAGCTTTCCTCATAAAATGAGGCAACTGGAGCTCAGGATTGGGGGAGAGGAGAAGACAATCTAAGCAGCAAGAATCAAATGGCAGCATGTTATGCCCCAAATGTCTGTGATGACTTGGGTGGGTCAGGTCTCATCAGGGAGATGAGCAGATCAGGTCTCCTAACTTTCTGTTGTCTTCTTGGCAAACCTCACAATCCCTCTGATCTTTAGTTTCTTCATCTTCAAACAAGGCAAGGCACAGACCTTTCTTGCCAGGTTTCCTATAAGAATGGGGTTGGCACACCCAAGTATATAAGCTGCTGGTGTCCTGGAAGGGCTCAGGCACAGTCTGTGCCAGCTCCGTGGACCCTACAGACTTGACTTCCTGTGTCTCTGAGGGAACATAACATCTCTGAGCCTCTGTTTTAGCTTTGCAAAACAGGGCTGGTTGTGAAGTTACCCCCAGGATCCCAGGGGATGCTCAGTAACTGGAGCATGGAGTAGAGTGAGCTGACCTGTCTCTCCCATGCAGGGTTTCCTCTGGGGTTTACGAGCCAGTCGTGATTGAAAGCCATTGAGAGAGCCGGTGTCCAGGCTGAAGAAGCCCCTGCCTTTGTGGGGGTCTAGACCTGCATCATTCCAGGAGGGACTTCCCTTTGGATCCCCACCGCATCTCATCTGTGCCTCCTCCAAGTCTTCTTGCCTACACCTGCCCAAAGCATCATTCCATTGTCCTCCCGCCCACCCTGGGCCCTTGCAGCCCTGTGGCCTGGGCACCACTGTGAATATTTTCCTCAGAACCACTAGAAGGCAGAACAGGTGGGCATGTGCTGCAGGGAGCAAGACGAAGCTGTCTAAGACTGTCCCCATGGAGTCCAACCTGGTCTCAGCTGAGGATATGCAGCAGCTCCTTCACATGTGGGGGTGCTTGTGGCCAAGGGGCCTCTTCCCCCATGACCCACTCTCTCCAGGAGCTCCAGCTTCAACCAGGCTAACAAGGCCTTGCTCCATTGCCCCCTTCACCCTTGGGGGCCAGAGCACCCCTGAATTCTGCCACTTGTGACCCTCTGCTCAGTGCTTCAACTGTCCCTTACCCCTGTCCTGGGAGATCCGCTGGCGGCTTCCTCCTGGGAGCCAAGACCTCAGACCGTACCCATACTCCAGATTGAGACCCCACCTCTCCCACCGAATGTTCTCCTGCTGCCCTGGCAGCCTGCACTTTGCACATAACTTGTCCCAGCACAACCTCTCTGGCCCCACTCCCTTCCCCTTGGCCTCTTCCCTAGGACTCCTGGGTGCTGCCTGCAGTGCAGTCAGGCCCAGGGTCTGGCAGCCCGGCTGGCTTAGGGCACTGCCTCTCTTCTAGCTAGCCCCAGCTCAGGCCTAAGACCAGAGCCTAGAAAGGCCTGAGTGTCATGATGCCCCCTGTCCAGGGCTGTCCTGAGCAGCTGACTTTCCTATAGGAAGGATGGGGCCAGGCTGGGCTGGGCAAGCAAAGCCCCCTTCCTTTGCTCTCAGGTCACATGTGCAGGTCAGGAAGCCTAGGCTGGGGCCCATGCTGGAGAGGCAGGTGTTCTGGGACTGGACAGGCTAGAGCTGGCTTCCTGCCTGACAAGTCTCAGCTTTCCTCTGTATCCCCTACTTCTGGTCAAGGGAGGGGATCCCTCAAGGGGCAGCATGCTTTCCCAGTGGGAGCAGTCTGGCCCTGCACCCCACCCCATACCCCGCTAAGGCCTCCTTGCAGCACTTTTTCCGCTGGTCCTCGGAACTGGCTTGAAGGAGGGCTCTGGCTGCCAACCAGGCCCTGAACAAACTCTTGCCCCTTTGAGTTTCACCATTTTATATAAACCCAGCAGGCTGGTGTTACTTGGCCCTAGCGGTTTTTTTCCTTATCTTTACTCTCTCTTTTTTGGGTTCACGTTCCATATTTTGTCCTCCCCCAGCAAGGGGAGGTACTTGTAATTCCCTACCCCACCTGCGGGCTGGGTCCCAGCAGGGCTGGGGATGGCCTGGGGCAGGACACTGGTTCTCTCTGGGTAGGGGATAAGTGTCCTCCCCAGACATGGCGGTCCCTTGTCCAGTGCCTGTCTGCTCCAGCTGTCAAGAGTTGAGGTTCTTGGTCTTGGAAACTTACTGATACTAGGACCAGAGCATTTCTGGGGGTTTTGTTGTCATCAGCATTATTTTAACCACCCAATAATGCTTTCAGAAAATGGATGTCATAAGGTGCCTGCTGTGGCAGGACAGCATGGCTCTGACTGGAGAAGGCTGTGGTCAGCTCGGAGAGTCCCTTCCTCCCTGGCAGAAACTGGCCACTGTCTGCAGATGAGGTGACCCTTAGAAGAATAGGGGAGCACCGTCCTTCCCTTCCATGCCCATGACCTCCCCCATCTTAAGAGGAGGTCACTGTAGTCAGGGTATAATTTGGGCTTGATTGAAAGTTCTTGGGCTTTAGGCATAAAGCAGCTGGCTTTGTCAGTGTCAGGGAGACTCCCTCAAACCAGCAGCCCCAACCTCACCTAAGCCAAGGTCTGGGCTCAACAGTTAGCCCAGGAGACAAGAGCCTGCCACATCCTCTCATACCAGGCCCTGGGCCAGGGTAACTGGGCTGAGAATTTGGCCATAACCAAATGAACACTGGCTGGAGCCAGAGGCCAGGAGCCCTGGCTCTCCTTGTATGGAAGCCCTTTCTTCATTCAGCCTGTGCGGGTCCCCTCAAGCTCAGTGATTCCCCCCAGGTGCCCATAGCACTTGGATGTCAGATTCTGTATAGAGAGATAGAATATATTAGAGGTATTTTTGGAAAGGAATTGGTCTATGCAAAGCCAGTTTGGAATCTTCTCGAAAGACAGTTTAATGTTTCTACTAGGAGATATAAAGAAAATAAAGGTCTACAATATTTTTAGGTTTTTTTTTTTTTTCCCCTGATCACCCCGCAACTGATCACACTGCACAGTCTGTCAGGATGGAGAAAGTCCCCCTTCTATCCTAACAATGTTGCCACCACTGCTCCCCATCCCGTGGGCTGTGTTTGTATCTCTGCCCCAGCTTATTGTAGAAAATAATGTAAGGGGAAATCAGCCTAGTGTCGGTGTCTTGGTTTGGGGAAAAAAATTAAATACAGCGTTTTTATTTTGTTCTTTACCGTGTTACTTTACCATGTTGACTGGGGTCAGAGACAACATCAGAAGGAAGCAGATGCGTAAGGTGACATTCCAGGGGTGAGGAGGGTGTAGGCCAAGGTTCCCCAAGCCCTTTATTCCTCCAGATTCCAGGGCCCAATCTCACATGTGACCGTTCTGATCTCAGAATCCAAGTTCTAATGAGGGCTTTGCAGGCCAGGTGGCCTCCAAGAGGCCTACCTGCAGGCAAATAACTGCCTGTTTCCTCCACTACAGATGGGCTTGTATCCAGTGAGAACCTGAGGGTACAGCCTTTCCCAGCCTCTCTAAAGCCCCTGGCAGGCCTCAAGCCCCTCACCCCTCTTGCTGACTGTTCCAAGTCACAGAGGAGCTTAGTGATAAAGGCCAAAGTAGCCAGGTACCTTAGTGGTTTTGGCCAGGCCAGAAAGAACCAGGACACCAATCCTACCCCAAAACAGCACTATCCTACCAGGTGTCAGGGCTCATTCTTTACTGAGGCTGGTTATTGGTACCCTGGGAAGGGGAACGTTGTTTGGGGGAAAGAATGGGACTGTAGGTCAAGAGGGTCTTAAAAGCTTTGGGAAGGCAGTCCCTGTAGTCAGTGATGGGCCTAGAGGACAGAGAAGATTACTGCTGCTGGAGGGAACAAGCTATACAGGCTCAGGTCTTGTTCCCACTACCCTCAAGGAGAGATAACAGGTCCAGGGCCTTCACAGAAGCCCTTGGAGGAACTCTGGAGTCCCCAGAGGCTATGCCATAGCATTCCAGGATGGAAACAATTGCTCAACTTTAAAGCCAGTTAATGGATTCAAACTGCTTTGTGCCAAGCCCCATTCTGGATGCTAGGGTACAGTGAGCTAGATTGCCAAGGAAATCAGCTAATTAAAATGTAGCCAGCATCGGGTGGCTCACGCCTATGGTTTAGTTACTTGGGAGGATGTTACAGGGAGGATCAAAGTTCAAGACCAGCCTGGGCAAATAGTTCACAAGAGCCCATCTCCAAAATAACCAGAGCAAAATGAATTGTGGCTCAAGCGGTAGAGCACCTGCTTTGCAAGCGTGAAGCCCTGAGTTCAAACCCAAGTCCCACCAAAAAAAAAAAAAAGCCACAGGCATCACTACAGAGATACACTTAGGGTTTCACTACGGAGACATACTTGGGTTTGTGGGGCACAGAGCGGGAGGCTGGAGCCTCTGTCTCGGGTGAGCAGCTGTCAGCCCCATACATGCCACATGCCTTGGGAGGACAGTGTTCCAGGTGCCTGACCTGGAGGAAAAGATGCTGTGGCTCAACCTCCCTTGGTTCTCAGAGGAAAGGGAAGGGATCAGTCCCAAACCTGTAACACTCAGCCCTAGAGGTAGTAAGAGAAGGGAGGGAGTGGAGGCTTGCCTTTCTCTTATCCCAGGCTGTACAGTGAACTCCACCTCTTCCACCAACAGACAAATTAGGGACCTCTGCCCAGGAAGTAGGATACGGTGTCCACTTCACCACCGACTCGGATTATGCACATCTCGGATTCTCACTTTTCTGATCTGAATAATGGGTATTCTGACCCTGGACCTCCATCTCTGGCTTGGGAACTAGGGGATATTGGGATGTGTAGAGACTGGACCCGGCAGTCTGGGTCTCAGTTCGGTTCCATTCCCTAGAGAGAACGGGAAAAAAACTCGCCCCACGATACCCTAGAGAAACTATTTTTCCCGGCATGCAAAGGGAGGCAGCGCCTGCAGGTCTCGTGCTACACGGGCTAAGGGGGAAAGGGACTACAACTCCCGGCGTGCACCGCGACTCAGAGCCGGAAGAGGCAAGAACCGGAACCGGATGTGATCTTTTGCTCTGGTGGCGGAGCAAGGGGAAAATGGTGAGGTTGGGGCAAAGTGTCGTCGGGGGTGCGGGGCGTTAGGGGGTCTGGCAGGGAGTCTGCTCAGCAGCTGGGGCTCGGGATCGGGACTGCTCTCCCGCCGGTTTGTGTACGGGTGATAACGCTGAGGCTCGGCACTCCCCGCCTAGAGATTGATGGAGAGTCAGCTCCTCTGTACACCTGTTGAGGGATGGAAAGCTGAGAGCGTAAACTAGCTGCCACGCCACCTCCATTAGCGTTACTTCGACAGCTGAGCCCTCCCTTTTCTCCAGGCCACGGGGACAGACCAAGTGGTGGGACTCGGCCTCGTCGCTGTTAGCCTGATCATCTTCACCTACTACACTGCCTGGGTGATTCTCTTGGTATGTCTCCCTATCCCTCGGCTCACATTTCCCCAGTCCTGGGTCTTGAAGCCCCTCCCTCCTCATACCATTTAAGCGGCTGCTATGTGCCACGGACCGTGCCGAGTGCTTTTTCTCCTTATCTCAGAAAGATGCCGGTGGTGTCTGCATTTTCTAGATGAGGACGTTGAGGCCCAGGGAGAAGGGTCTGACCCAGGATCGCATCCTATTACACTGTGAAGCCGTTGAGGATTCTTCCTGTACCCTTTGCTAGTGCCTGTACCCCCAGTGCCTCGGGGCAGGTCCTCTACACCAAGCGAGTGCCCAATAAACAACTTTTAAATAAACAAACGGAAGAAACCGAGCGCTGGTGGCTCACACCTGTAATCCTAGCTACTCAGGAGGCAGAGATCAGGAGGATCGTGGTTCAAAGCCAGACTGGGCAAATAGTTCCGAAAGACCCTATCTCAAAAAAAGAAAAAAAAATCAAAAAAGAGCTGGTGGAGTGGCTCAAGGCTCTGAGTTCAAACTCCAGCGCCACAAAAAAAAAAAAAAAAAAAAACACAAGAGGAAGGAAACACACTCTACCCCTCAAAATGCCATCATCTTAAAGAAAAACAAATGCCTTCCCAGTGCTGTCAATGGGGTCAGCCCCTGAGACAGAAGAGGTGGAATGTTTGGGCTTGGGGGCGGGGCGAGGCCAGCAGTGCTCACCAGAAGTCTGTCCTCCCCTGTCAGCCATTCATTGACAGCCAGCATGTCATCCACAAGTACTTCCTGCCCCGGGCCTACGCTGTCGCCATCCCTCTGGCTGTGGGTCTCCTCCTGCTCCTGTTTGTGGGTAAGTCTCCCATTCTCTCAAGGTCCCTTGCTTCTCCTGTTTAGGATGTCCCCTGACCCTGATGTGTCTGGAGGGCTGCACCCTCACCCCTGAGCAGTCTTCCACACTTTGGCATTTGTACATCTGATCAGGGCTCCTGGCTTCCAACTATCCTTTAAAGGGAACCAGTCAACTCCTTTGCTTTCCGCAGTACCTCAGGCATATCTCCCTTTTTCCTGCCCCCAGCCACATCATCACTCTGCACACACCTCCTAGTCTCCTGTCACTCAGGCTCATAGTTTCTGTACCTCTTTCTGAGGCTGTCTAGGGATGGGGACTGCATCTTCATCATTGCTGTCCTCCGCACCAGCACAGGCTGTGACCCTGAGTTGGTGCTCGGGAGAGTAGTTTGGATGAATCAGCCGTTAGTTGGCTGGATGGTGGGGAAGCTGAGTGGATGGGTGGTGAGTAGGTGGACCTCCTTCAGATTCCCATGGAATCTCAAGCACTCAATACAGCATCTTGCCTGAGGGAGGCACTCACTTGGTGATTGTTGGACAAATGTGAATGGATTATGGCTTGCTGGCTGGGGAAGGAGATGAGCAGGAAGCCTGGAGGGTAATTTGGCAGGTGCACAAGCTTGCGTGTGGTTCACTCCCCCATGCCTGGCCATGCCTTGGCCTTCCAGAAGTCCTTAGCATGGATTGTATGTGATCTTTCTGTGTGCCAGGATTGTTCATTACCTACGTGATGCTAAAGAACCAGAAGGTGACCAAGAAGGCTCAGTGAAGGCCCAGCAGGGATGAGGCTGCTGGCCTCTTCTCCACATCCCTCCAGGCCAGGACCGAGAGTTGCAGCCTGTAGTCCAGGCACGGTGGCTCCTCCAGTTTGGCTGTCCCTCAGTGCTCTCAGGAGATGGCACTGCTCAAGAGTCACTTCTGACACACCAAAGCCCCCTCCTCCTGCTCACTCTTCTAGAAGTCAGCAAGTGGCGGGGGGGTGGGGTGGGGAGGAGACCTGGAAACTGCCCTCTCACCTCTCATCTCTCACCCCCTTCCGTCTCAGGTCCTGCCCACCTCACTGTCAGACTCTCTGTCACTTTTTCCTCTTGAGTTCTGCCCACTTGCCTCAGTTTCTCTCCCGTCACATGCTGATGTTGGATTTAGCAGGTTCTAAAGCTGCACATGACCTTCCCCTTCTCCCCGTAAGTCCTGCCCCTCCATAAAGGCAGCTTTCTGAGTCTGACATGGCTCAGACTTGATGAGGACTTCTGGACATTGTTGGAAAGCCCTGGGGAAGGACTGACAGACCCCAGGACCACAGGAACACATTAGAACAGCCACATCAGCCCCCGTGTCCCCCTGTCAGGCCTAGGCCTGTTTGGAAGAACTTAACAATAAATGTTGTCTGTGTGTTTGTCTCATTCTTTTTTTTTGTTTTGTTTTTGTCTCTGTCATTCTTGACACTAGAACGGGGCTGGAGGTGGCAGGGCTGGCCCTACATTGGGCTCAGGTCAGAGGCCCTGCTTGTGCAGTGAGGGTGCTTCTTGTGCCTCCTCTGCTGTCCCTGTGCTGCACACTGGATAAGTGGGAACTGAGACAGATGTGGTTCTAGCTGGGTAGAGCTCACAGCTGGGAAGCCAGCAGATGCCTTAGCATGTCTTCCCTGTGCTAGCTTGTCCAGGATGGACAAGTATTTTAGGGATCCTCAGGTCACCCCATAAATGTCCAAGCCCATTGTCCAATTCTAGCACCCAGCAGCCCAACTTAGCATGACTCTGAGCAGTGAGGGCTGTCACTGAGTCAAGAGTGGACCCTTTCTGTGCTTGTGTTGTGCACTGAGCCTGCATAGGCTCCAGCCTGGCCAGTGATCCCACCAGGCCCTCTCTGGGCAGCAGCTCCCATTCTCCCAGTGCCTAGAGACAACCTCCATCACCCCAACCTTGGATGCTCACTCATCCTCCAGTCAGTAAAGATGTCTCTGTCATCTCAGAGAAGAGTCCAACTGCAGACACACTGCTCCAGCCTCTCTGTCCTCCCGGCCGGGTACAACAGTCCATGGAGCATTGGGTCCTATCTGTACTGCTGTGCAGGTTCCTCCCTCCATGGCCCTTTTCACAATTTCCTCACCTTGGGCTGCACTGAACCTCTATCCCCATTGCTCTAGGAAGGCTGCACCCACTAAGACCACCAGGGATATCTGTTCTTTAAATCCAAAGGATGGTTCCCTGACCCTCTGCCCCATCTGGCTTGTGACACTTGGTGTCTGTGATGACTGGTCTCCTACTTGATGGTCTCTCTGTCATTTGTGCTCCTCTGTTGTGCCATAAGATGCTGAACCCCTGACAGCTGGATCTCGGGCCTTTTTTCCCTGTACCTTTCCCTGGTGACATGCTTTTCTAGGCTTGTCTCCAGCCCAGCTCTCTCTTTGAAGCCCTAATGGTATGCCCATTGGATGTCATAGAGGCATCTCAAATTCATCCTGTTGTGAGCTGAATTCTCCAAATCTGGCTTCCTTCATGCCCTGCCCCTCTCAACAGATGTCTTGTGTCCCTAACTTTGGCTTTCTTATCTCACTCCATCCTATATCTACACCCTAAATTCTGTCAATTCTCCCTCTTTTCTCACTTCCCCCAGCTTTCTGATGCAAAGCTGCCATCCTCTGCTCTAAATCAGGGAGAGCTTCTTCACTGCCCTTCCTCTGCCACTCTGGCCTCCTCTGTTCTCATTATGCTCAACAACCGATGGTCTTTCAAGATCACTTAGAAAAAACATTAAGCAGATCATCTTTCTCACAGTCACCTTCCCTTACAGTACTTCTATGGTTGTCCCTCCCCACCAAGGCCCACTGAGCCCTGCATGCTCAGCGACTCTCTACTCACTGCAGCCATTCTGGCTCTTCACTTCCTGGGATTTGCTGAGGCACCCCCTACTCATGTTGGCCCAATTTGTGCTGGCCACTGAGCCAGGAAGTGGGGCCCACGTGGTTCCAGCCCCAGGGCATTCCCATTCTAGGGGGATGATATAATCAATAAATGAACAAGGCAATCTGACACTGTTAAGGGTCACTGTTAAGGGTGATGGAGAGAATAAAGGTGATGTGATCAAGAGTGTGGAGAGGCATGTGTAGATGGTGTCCTATAAGGTGACAAGAAGGAACAAGACAAGTGAAAGGGGGGGGAAAGGGAAGGCAAGCAGAGGGCACAGCAGATGCAAAAGCCTGCAAGTGAGACTCTGGTGGCTATCATCTAACAGCAGGGGCCCCGGAGGCTGGCTAGGGACTTAGGGGAGGAAAAGTGGTTGGAGATGGACCTGGAGTGGGGCAGGCAGCCTGGGACCCTGGAAAGAAGTTTAAATGTTGTCTCATTGCTGTGGGAAGCCACTGGAAGCTTAAAGCATGAGAGTGACATCATCCGATTTATGCTTTTAAAAGATCAGGCTAGCAGCTGGGTCCCTCCTGCTCACTCACTGCTAAATCTCCCGGGCCTATCACTGCTCCTGGCCCAAAGTGGGTGTTCCAAATATATATTGAATGAATGGATCCCCTGACTTCCTGAGTGACCTGGAGGAAGTCACTTTCTCTGATCTTAGTTTCTTCACATGAAAGACAATCACTGGGAATTTCACGCCTGAATGGGTTGGGTGGGAGGATTTAGGTTACCCGCGTCTCACTCTAGGGGAAAATTGAAAGGGAGGTCATCTCTCCTGGGGACCCTAGCCAACGCCCGGCTGCCCCTCCCGGCCTGGACCGCGGTCGGAAGGATGCTGCAGCCGCGGGGGCGGGACCCGCAGGCGATCGCCGGCGCCCCCCAAGCGGATTGGGCACAGCCATGACTGAAGCCGCACGATTGGTCGGTCACGAAGCGGGGGCGGAGCCTGGTTCCTGCACCGGGGCGGTGGGGACGCAGCCAAAGCCCGGGAAGCTGCTGCAGGGGGCGATGGCCGGGCCAAGCCCCGGTCCCCACGAGGTATGTGCGGGCCTGAGAGGAACAGGAGAGGGGAGGGTTAGTGGGCAGGGGTCGGGCCTACTCTCTGTTAGCTGTGCGGACACGCCCCCATGCCAGCTGGGGAGGGGCCCTTGGCGAGGACCAGGACACGCCCCACATGGGGTGCCGGTATGAAAAGGGGGAGTGATCTTTCGGGTATCCCCCAAGGTCTTCCTCAGTTTCCTCATGGAAAAAAATGGAGATAATAAAAGCTCCTTCATAGGGCTGTCAGGAGCTCAAGCTCTGCCAGTTTGGGGCACATGGTGGGTGCCCACTAGTAATGGGTGAACTGGTTTGATCTCAGAACCCTGCTGACCCTCCATGCTGGCCTGGAGGAACTCAGCACCGACGAGTGGAATAGATTTCACTGAAGTGCCATCGGGACTTCCTGTGCACTGATCTCAAACTCAACAATAACATTTAATATCTGCCACAAGAGAGTTACTATAGTTCTAAGACTATAGGGCAGCAGAGCAGGCGGGCGAGCATGTGTGTTGTCTGTGTGTGCACATGTACACAGCCTGACCACATGCATCCTTCGGTAAATTGGGAACAATTTACCTAAGGTCACCTGCCGTGAGAGCTGGTCAGTCCCAGCTGGATTTGATTGCCCAACACATGCTCTACCTACAATCTGTGCTAGGTGCTTGGTGGCCCTCAACACCTGGTGAGATGGGTTCCAAATTATCCCTAGCTTAGCAGCTGGGGAAACTGAGGCAGAGAGAGATGAGGGGAAGGCTCACAAATCGTGGAATGGGGGAAAGACCACATGTTCTTTCCTTCCTGTGCCTCTTCCCACCAGATCCTGGCCCCCTCCCCAGAGGCTGGACACAGAACAGCCACCTCAAGCTCCAGTCGCCGTGGCCTCCTCTGGCGCCTACGAGACAAGCAGTTGCGCCTGGGCCTGTTTGAGATTGGCCCCGGGCATGAGCTGCATCGGTTGACCTGTATGATGCAGGCAGGGCTGTGGGCTGCCACCCAGGTCTCCATAGACAACCCACCCACGGTGAATGGCCACTCCATCTCACACACCTTATCTTGCTAATACAGCTGCACTGGGAATCAGAGAGGGACAACAAGAGGAGGAAGGCAGGGGCTCATTCAGGGATGGAGGGACATTCTGGAGTGGCTGCTGGAAAGCCCAGGATGTTGGGTGTGTGAAGAATTCCCTGACTCAATTGGTTGCTGTGTGATTCTAGTGGGTTTCTGCTTCTCTCCACTCCTCAGTGTCCTCATCTATATAATGGGTGGAGGGGATTACACTTCTTGGTTTTGAGGCCCTTCCATCCCTGCCTGGGTGTGTGGTTGAGAAGGGCCTCCACCCCCACCCAGCCAGCCCAGTCCATTCTCCCTGGAGCCCAGGATGCAGCCATGCTGGCTCAGCAGAAAGGGCTTCCAACTGTTAAGCTCAGCAGCAGGGCAGGCGGGTGAGCATGTGTGTTGTGTGTGTGTGCACATGTGCACAGCCTGATCACATCCCACAGGCCATGTCCTGGAGGTCCTGGGAGAGTCCTCTAGCCCACCACCTGACCTCGTCACCTGCTGAAAATCTCCCATGGCTCCCCAGTACTCAGCATGGTCTTGAGATTCCACTGGTTACGAGGACCAGCTGTCCAGCCTCATACACAATCCATCCCTGCTTTCTGGCACAGACACTCAGGTGCCCCTCCCCTTCCTGGTTGCCACCTGCGCAGTTTGTATTGTCCTAAGCACCTTGCTCCTCCTGTCCACTACCCTCTGGATTTCAGCTCAGAGATCTCCTCCAGCAGCTTTCCCTGGTCCTGGCCCTCTCAGACTTTGTCAGGCAGGTCATTTGGCTTCAGGACCTCCTCTTTATACTGGGATGGACTGCCACTTTACTTGGCCAGCATGTGTGTCTGAAGACACATGTCAGGATTGAACTCAGACCCTGTTGCTGAGGACCCAGGCCCTGCCTCAGGTCATTCTCATCCTCCCTCCATCCCTGGACAGGCTGGCAGTTCATCTCAGAGACACCTCAGGTCCCTTTTTGATGAAGGGATCAAATTGGGGGTGGGGGGAAGCCAGGAGTAGGACACTTGGAGACCCTGGGGCAGGCAGTGGGAGACCTTGACTTTTCCCTGAGACCCTCTACCCATCCCTGCAGGGACCGCCCACCCAGGAGGATTTCTCTGAGGTCATGACCCAAGTTCATGATGAGGTAGGAAGGATGGGGGCTGGCTGAAGTGGTAGGCGGTGAATTTGAAACCTCAATACTGCCAAAAAAAAAAAAAGTATGATAAGATAGAAAACACAAGACTCCTACGTGAGAGGGGCCTGTACCGGTCCTTGCTCTCTTCTTGTCCTGTTTCCCTATCCTTGCTCCTGGGACCTTTGTAGGAAGGGTGTAGTTACCTGACGCTCCTGCACCAGGGCCAACCGCACACACCTGGACACCCTTGGGGCTGCTCTTTCTCCCCCACAGGGCTTCGAGCTGGGCACCCTGGCCGGTCCAGTCTTTGCCCGGCTGCGACGCTCCGTGGGCCTGGCAGAGGAGGACTATCAGGCTGCGCTGGGCCCTGGTGGCCCCTATCTGCAGTTCCTCAGCACCTCCAAGAGCAAGGCCAGCTTCTTCCTGTCGTGAGCTTGCTGCATGGTTGGGGCGGGGTGGGGATGGGACCTCGAGCGGGGAGGGGACCTTGTCCCTTGGGAGAGAAAGAACGGTCCAGATGGAGGTCCGATGGAGGGAGGAAAGACTTAAGCGAGGGCCTGTGGTGAAGCTTTGAGCCGAGGCGACAGAAATCATCGTGCACAGGGGAGGACAGGGGACTGGAGGGAGCTGTTTCCGCCAGCCTGGACAGTGACCTTCCGCTTCCACCCCGCAGCCACGACCAGCGGTTCTTCCTGAAGACTCAGCGGCGCCGGGAGGTGCAGGTGCTGCTCACCCACCTGCCGCGTTACGTGCAGCACCTGCAGCGGCACCCACACTCGCTGCTCGCGCGGTTGCTGGGTACCAGGGCCGGGAGCGGGTTCTACACCGCAATGTACCTGGGGTGGGCGGGGTCTGTGGGCGGGGCCGGGATCTGGGGCGGGCCCAGAGGGAGCAGGCTTGGGATTGGATAGTATGTGGGCGGGGTCATACCTGGAGGCGGGGCACCACTGGGGTTAGGTCCGTGGTTAGGGTCCTGCGGAAGAAAGGGTCTGGGGGCGGGGCCTAGAGGGGCGGGCTCTGGATCGAGATCCTGGACGCCTTGGATCCAGGGTTGTGGAATTTGGGGCGCTCACGTGGCGCCCTCTCCCCTTCCAGGAGTGCACAGTCTGCAGGTGGCCCAGGGAAAGAAGGTGGGTGAGAACGAGGCGAGGTGGCTGGGCGGAGGGGGCGGCTGGAGGTGAGAGGGTGGCTTCGCTCACCTTCCGCCCCGTCCCCAGAAGTACTTCATCATCATGCAGAGCGTCTTCTACCCCGCCGGCCGCATCTCCGAGAGGTGAGTCGGGCACAGGGCCCCGACCCCACCCCGCGTGCGCCACCTCGAGCACCCACCCTTCACCGTCTAGAGCGCGGTGCTGAGACCCAGGGAGGAGCAGGAGTGCTCCCAACATCCGTGACTCGGAGACAGTGACACCCACCAGCAGCGTCTCTTGAGAACTCGATATGTTATGAGCTCTGTTGAGCCATTCCTGTTATCTTCTTCCCCCCAGAAGAATGATGAGGGGTGGGTGTTGCCAACCCCCCAGTTTTTCCTTTTTTGGTTTTTTTTTTTTTTGTACTGGGGCTTGAACTCAGGGCCTACACCTTGAGCCACTCCACCAGCCCTTTTTTGTGAAGGGTTTTTGCAAGATACGGTCTCGGGGCACTATTTGCCAGGACTGGCTTTGAACCGCGATCCTCCTGATCTCTGCCTCCTGAGTAGTTAAGATTACAGGCGTGAGCCACCGGCGCCGGGCTTTTCCTTATTTAAAAAAAAATTTTTTTTTTGAGACAGGATCTCCCTATGTAGCCCAGGCTGGCCTCAAACACCCATTCCTCCTGCCTACACCTTCCTACCGCTGGGATTATAGACATGCACCTCCACGCCCAGCTAACCCCCCTCATTTTATACCTGGGTGTGCATCAGGATTCAAACCCAGCCTCTCTTGCTGTACCCAGCCCTGACCACCTCAGGTTCCCAGTAGTGCTTCTCCCAAGGCCATTGGCGTCCCCTGCCCTCTGGGTGGGATTTCTGTGACTGGGACACTCTCCAGGATGGCGAGGTGCTAGGAGATGGGCACAAGCAGAGCTAATGTGGACTAGCCTTCCAGAGGCCTGCGGGGGGAATCCCTGTCACTGTGTGGCACAGGCAAGTCAGAGTTCCTGAGCCTCAGGTTCCTTCATCTCATGTGGGGACACAGGCTGGGGTGTGCTGAGGTTCTGTGATGCCTTTTGTAATGACTTTGGCGCATCCATGAACAGTCACCCAAGGGGAGTTCTTGTTCCTAATGACTACCTTCCGAGGTTCTGGGCATCTCTTCTATGTAAAGGTAGACCTGTCCCCCAACCTCCCAGGTATGACATCAAGGGCTGCGAGGTGAGCCGCTGGGTGGAGCCGGCCCCGGAGTGCAATGAGCTTGTCTTGGTGCTGAAGGACCTCAACTTTCAGGGCAAGACCATTAACGTAGGTGAGCCACAGGGTGTCACTGTCCTCCTCTTTCTCTGTTCAGGGTGAAGTTGGAAAGGAGGGTCCCTGGTACAGCCCCCTGCTTGAGTCACTAGGAGCCCAGATTCTGGGGTCAAGCAGACAGGGTTCAAATTCTGGCTCCAGGGCTGGTGGAATGGCTCAAGTGGTAGGAGTGCCTGCATAGTGAGCATGAGGGCTTGAGTTCAAACCCCAGTGCTGCCAAAACAAAAAAAAAAAAAAACAAGAAACAAATTCTGGCTCCAGTCTTCTTGCAATTAGGGGATTAAGGGAAATTATAGATGAGTTTCCTTATTTGTGGAAGGCAGACAATAACGACCGCTGCCCTCCTAGGGCAGAAGCATGTGGACCACCAAAGCTGGCACATGCCAGAGCTCAGGTGGGGCTTTGATGCTCCGGCAGGGCCCCAGAGGAGCTGGCTGCTCCGCCAGATGGAACTGGACACCGCTTTCCTGCGGGAGCTCAACGTGCTGGATTACAGTCTCCTGATGGCCTTCCAGCATCTCCACCAGGACGAGAGGGGCAGCAGCCTCATCTTCCGCCTGGCCAAGTGAGTCCCCCCCAGGGGTTATGGCAAGGATGGGGGTGGCAGACAGGTAGTGAGGTGTAGAAAGGCCTTTCCTGGGGTAGGGGCCCAGCACAGACAAAGGCTGGAAAGTGCAGAATGTGTGTGTGTTGGGGTGGGGGGAGGGTAAGTACCATAGAGGAAGGGACTGGAGAAGTCTGGCCAGTACGGGCAAAGGGACACAGGTGAACCACAGTGGGGAACAGAACTGGCAAGGTCCAGTTGAACATGGGCTTCAGTGCTGATTTGTAGCACCATTTTTCAGCAGGGGATATGGAGCTACTGAAGTTTCAGATCAGGGGAAAGACTTATTTGATTACTGCCCTAGAAAGAGCCCTGCCCTCTAACCCAGTCATTCCATATCCAGGACCCTGAGGTCATTGTCATTGGTACCATCTTTGCAGCCTCGCCTGTGTAGTAGTGACTGTCACTCCTTGCATGCTCTCATTCCCATTGTAGAGATATGAATACTGAGGCTCAGAGAGGAGAAGTGAAGTTGCAGGCGAGCTCCTGAGGATTCCTGTCAGTACTTGGTCACTTGGACCACAGTTCTTCAAGACCCACCTGTATGGCTGAACAGAATGGCTTAGGGGTTAAGATGGGTCCTTTAAGAATCTGAGCCTGTTGATTTGGTGGGTTAATAGGGAAGTAAAAGATGAGGTTCTCTCATTCAGCTCCCATTCCTGCCCCATGAAGGAAGATCTTAGGATGGGTAAGGCTTGAGCAGAATTGGGGTAGAGGCCCCCCATGCAGCCCAGAGGGGGCTGGGCGCATCCTCGTGGGATGGTGGAATGTGCCATGGGGCACAGGATCTCTCAAATCTGCCTAACCAAGCTAGATCAGCTTCTACCCCAGCTGGTGCTTAGGCCACCGCCATTCAGTCAGTAAGTCCTGGTTTCTATAGAATAGTTATTGTGTTGAAATATTTTTGTGCTCCATCCTGGCTCTCACCTGGTTCTGGTCCCTCACCACAGCCCCACCTCCCACCTCGTGGTCATCCAGGTTAACCTTGCCTGGACTGGAATAAAGCCTCACAGCGCCCCTCCCCTCCCTCCAGCGCCCCTCCCCAGTTTCTGCTGGGCCTAGAGGCCTGTCAAAGATACCTGATTTGGGATGAAACATTTTGAGGCAAAACTACACAAATTACCAGCAGACTGATGTTGTTCACAAAGTTTTTCAGCTTCGAAACCCTGGGACTTCCAGAGGTGAATGACCCCACACCGAAGTTTAGGAAATACCCAAATAAGGGACTTTACCCAAAGCCACATAGCACATAAGGAAGGACCAGGGTCTGGGATGCTCTAAAAATATAATTCAGGTCATACATGTAGTTAAACTTTTTCTAGCAGCCTAGAAAAAGGAAACAGCTGGCATTAATTTTAATATTTACTGAATACATCCAAAATTTGATTGTTTCCAGGTGGGCATAGTGGTATGTGCCTGTAATCCCAGCTACTCTGGAGGTTCAAGGCCAGCTCAGGCAAAGGTATCCCCAGACTCAAAAGCAAAATACAACTGGGGACATGACTCAAGTGCTAGAACGCCTGCCTAGCAAGCCCGAGGCCCTGAGTTCAAACCCCAATACTGCCAAAGAAAAAAATTCAAAAACAAAATAAAAATGAAAGGGCTGGGGGCATAGCTCAAGTGGTAGAGCGCTTGCTTAGCACATAGGAGGCCCTGAGTTCAAACCCCAGTACCACAAAAGAAAAAAAAAGTGTTTTCGTGCAGTACTGGAATTTGAACTCAGGCTTCATGCTTGTGAGGCAGGCATTCTACTGCTTGAGCCACACCACCAGTTCAAAAGGAAAAAAAAAATCATTTAATCTAATCAACATACAAATTGGTGAGATAGTTTACTTTCTTCTCACACTGTCTTCGACATTTAGCATTCTTTTACACGCACTGCACAAACAGGACACACCCTGTGTGGGAACGGGCTGACTGCCTGGGGCTTCCAGGAGGAGGCAGCAACCTCGCCCTCCCGTTGACCCACACCAGGTCCGTGCACGGGGCCCAGAGCCCTGAGGATCCTGGAGCCCAGAACCGCCGGCTGCTGCCCGATGCCCCCAACGCCCTGCACATCCTGGACGGGCCGGAGCAACGCTACTTCCTGGGCCTCGTGGATCTCGCCACCGTCTACGGGCTTCGCAAGCGGCTGGAGCACCTGTGGAAGACGCTGCGCTACCCGGGCCGAACCTTCTCCACCGTCAGCCCGGCTCGCTACGCTCGTCGCCTCTGCCAGTGGGTGGAGGCGCACACCGAGTGACCCGCGCCTGGCCTCACTGCCCCCATCCGGAACGCCGGGCCCAGCCCCGGCCCAGGGAGCTCGCCTGCCGTTCCTCAGTTGGCCACAAGAGGGCAGCACCCCCCCAACTAATGGTCTCAACTCAGCCCCCTTGGATGGCGGTGCTGCGCCCTGCCACGTGCCAAGGACTCCCCTGCTTGAGCTCATCCGACCCTCAAAAATGCCATTATTCTCTTTTTACAGACCATGAAATGGAGGCTCGGGGGTGCAGGGGCTGAGCGAGATCATTCGGCAATAAATGCTGGAACAGGACTCCACCATGCCTCTGGATCTTGGAGCCTGTTTTTAACCAGCAGCTCCCAGCAGCAGCAGCAGTCCTGTCCTCGAGCTCTGGGGAAGGGAAAAACTGAAGGCTCTGCTCCCTTGTCGTCCCGATGGGGAAACTGAGGCCCGGAGACTTTGAGGGGCTTATGCACAGGTAAGTGGCAAGGTTGACCCTCAAACCCAGGTCGCCCAGCTCGCCAAGGGCCCCTCCACCTCCCTCTGGGACACCTCCTCCCTTCAGTCCTCGAATGCAGGTGGGAGGAGGTCAGGCAGCGGTGGGCTTCCTGGAGCTCTGGGAGGCATTCTGAAGGGTCACCATGGATCTCCAGTGAGCTCTGTCCTCCTCTGAGAGTCACTTTTCCCATCTGTGAACGGCTCAGTGGTCAGACCAAGGGTCCTGGGCTGCACAGACCTCACTTGGAACACCCTTCTCCCTCCTCCAGAAAACCAGCCTGGCCTCCAACCCCATCCAGTCCAATCCAACCACGCCCATGTGGGCCTTTCCATCCTGAGCTGCTCCAGGCTCCAGGGCCGTGAGACCAGGATAAGGTGCTAAACCTCTCTGTGCTTCAGTGAAATGGAAAGGATGCAAGCGGACCTCATTAACTCATTAAATACTTACTGAGCACCTGCCATGTGATAGGCTCTCTGCTGGGCAGTGGAAACCTGGGGACAATGATGCCACAGTCACAGCACTCACGGTCGGTGTGGGTGATGCTCCATGGACAAGCCCAGAGTCACAGAACTGGGGGGGAAGGAGCTGCCACGCAATTATTTCATGGGTGGTGGGAGGGGGCTTAACTTCTAAACAGACTAGAAGGGTCAGCCAGGCCAAGAACACAGTGAAGGCCTTGGGGGGCGGGGAGCCTGGTGTTTGAGAGGAAGGAAACATCTCAGAGCTGTGGGGGCCCCCAAGATTGAGCCATCAGGACCTTGGAGAAGCCTCTCGGGGAGTCCAGGTAGTCCATCAGATAGCACCAGAGAAAGATGGCTGCGGGGAAAGGGGGAGGAAGGGGAGGGCTCCCTCGGCAGGGAGCACAAGCTTTTTAAACACTGACATCACGGCTTGTTGTGTGGGTGACCTTGGGTAAGCTTACTCAACCTCTCTGAGCTGGCATGAGCTTCGGCATTTCTTGCTCTTGTTTGGGAGGAAGTTCAGACACAGGGACCAGGGACACTCACGGTTGGCAGGAACTGGGGTCTGCTGCCACGTTTCCTAGGGTGTGGATCTAGGGCTGACCCAGAGCCCACAGCCTGCTGTCACACCCAGGGGTGACTCAGCCCCTTCTCTCCCTTCGGGTCTCTGACCATCAGCCTTGTCTGGGGCCTCAGGCTGGACAGATGAAAGTGACTTGTCCAGGACCTCACAGGTTCCAGGGCTCCTGGCTCTCCTAACTCAGTCCATCAGCAGACTCTGAGCTCCTAGTGTGTGCTGGGTGCCAGCAGGTGCTGGAGGGGCCCCTGGGAATGCTATTGGTCTGGCCATACCCACACTGAGCTTAGTATAATAGTGGACGTGTAGACTGTTAATGAGGAAACCGGGTAATAGGGTGATTTCAGAGGGCAACAAATACTACAAAATAAAGAAATTAGGAGCCAGGCATCAGTGACTCATGCCTGTAATCCCAGCTTCTCCAGAGGCAGAGATCAGAAGGATCACCATTCAAAACCAGCCCCAAGCAAATAGTTCAGGAGCCCCTATCTTGAAGAAAAAACCCATCACAAAAAAGGACTGACACAGTGACTCATGCGATAAGAGTGCCTGCTAGCAAGCGTGAGGCCCTGAGTTCAAACCCCAGTGCCGCCAAAAAAAAAAAAAAAGGAAATCAGGTAAACTGGGTGTGGTGGTACACGTCTATAATCCCAGCTCTCTGGAGACTGAGGCAGGAAAATCTCAATTTGTGGCCTGGGTGGACTATGCAGTGAGACCCTGTCTCAAAAGCAACAACAAAACAAAACATCCCGGGTTCAAAAGGAATGAGGACATAGCGTTGGATAGGTGGCTTAGCAAGAAACTTTCTGAGAAGGTGAGGTTTGAGCTGATTGACAAGAAGGAGCTGGCCACGTGACTAGAGCTGTCCAGGTACAGAATGCAGTGCAAAGGTCCTGAGGTAGGAATGAGCTCCTTGTGATTAGAGGTCAAAGGGATGGAAGGTGACTGAGAGGGAGTTAGGCATTCACATCATGCAGGGACTTGCAGGCTGGGGTGAGGACAGTGAGTATTTCCCAAAACCAAACTGAAGAGCCTCATCTGGGGCTGTGGAATTTCCTGGTCTTGGTTCCACTGAGGACTTGGAATCTCATCTGCCCTGAGAGCCTGAGCCATTTGGACATGACCCTGTCTCCATGTGGCACTAGCAAGGAAGGTGTTGCTCCTCTGGGGAAGGAACCCTCACCTTAGCCATTGTGGGTGACGAATGAATGCAGAGGAAACTTCTTACTGCTGTGCCCTTGGGGCTGGGGCTGTATGAAGAGACAGTTGAAGGATGAGGTTGTGGGGAAGCCACAAGGGCCGTGACTTTGAGAACCCACTGTATGCCTTTCATGGGAGGATCAAGGAGAGCTATGCTCAAAGGAGGCCTCCACAGGCAGGGCCACTTCGGCCACCCTCCCTGTTCCCTCGACAGGACAAGGAAAGGCCTGCGGCCTAGAACATCAGGCTCAGGGGTTCCTCTTGAACCTGGAGAGGGTAGACGTAGAAGGGTGCCAAGCTGCAGATGGACACTTTTTTTTTTAAGATCTGGGACAGGAAGTGTGTTCTCCACTTCACAATAGCCCTTCCCTTCCTCCTAAAGCCCCACACCTGCGTCTTCAGTCCTCCCTGCCCCAGCCTGACATCCCCAAAGGAGCTCATGGACGACACTCAGCAAGGTTGCCTTTGGGAGGCCCGAGTGGCGGTCAGAGCTCTGACTTTGGAGAGAAGCTGCCCGGGTTTGAATTCTGGTTCTGTCATGAGCTTCCCCTACCCCTTCTCCCCGAGGGGTGTGGTTATTCTTCCCCTTTACCGAGGAGGAATACTGAGGCGCAGGAGAGGGACACATGGACATAATAAAAATAAAATAACTATATGAAAATCAACTCATTTTTCATCGTGTGTCTGAAATTCCGATTTTACTTGGCATCTTGTATTTTGCTAAATCTAGGAGCCCTATCAGCTTGCAACCCAGGGCTGCCTGACCCGAAGCTTTTGCTTAATTTCCCTGCCCCCACCCCTCCCATTTTAGAAAAGGAGAAACTGAAGTCTGCACGGCCAGACAGTCACTGCACGGTGGCTCTGACACCCTCTAGATCTCTTTCCTCTGCGGCCCCAGGCAGGAACCCTGTAGTAATGGGGGAGGATGGAAAAAAAAAAAAGGAGAAGAGAAGCTGGAGCTTAGACCCCGCCCAGGATGCTGAGGCTCCGCCCCCAGACCACAGTCCTCCGCGCCAGCCACGCACGTCCCGCCCCGGCCGCGCAGGCCACGCCCCAGGTCGCGCCGGCCGCCCTCGTAGGCCCCGCCCCTCTCGTGCAGACTCCGCCCCCGGCACGCAAGGTTCCGCCCCTCTCCGCAGGCCCCGCCTCCGCCTCCGGCCGTGCTGGTTTGACTTGCAACCTCAAGAAGCTGAGGCCGCGGCGCCGCCTCCGCCCCGAGGCTCCGGCTTCGATCCCGGCTCGCCCGGCCCGCGGGACATGGAGCTCCGAGCAGCGGATCGTGAGCCTCCGGCACGCCCTGCCTCGTCCACCTGGTTAGCGCCCGGCCCGGGGGAGGGGGCTGTGGAATCTTGAAGAAGGGTAAAAAAATCCCATGTCCTGCGGTCCCAGGCCTCTCCATCGTCCCGCGGGTAGGGAGGAAGGATGGCTGGGGTAGAAATCGGGCTCCTGGCTCTATCAGCCTCAGAGCCGAAGGGTGACCTTGAACCGACAGTGCCTCCTCTCTGCCTCTCCTGCCCACCTGCACGATGGGGCTTGGTTTGGCGGGAGGGCTCCCGAGAGTCGCTGATCACAGCTCCTTTGCATGTCCGATGTGTGAAGACTAAGGTGTTTGATTCCTAGGCGCCATTTGTCTTGACCCTGGCCTGTATCGTCCCCTGCCTCATTTCTCCCCACATCCTGGGACTCGGACTGCCTTATCCCTTCTTGGCTCTGAGTTTCTGGGTCTTGGCAGGTGCCCAGCTCACACCCCTTTCCATCCCAAGTCCTGGGGACAGCAGTCTCCTGACTGCTGAGGGCCGGCGACAGCATGAAGGCTCGGGTAAGTGGCACGGAAGGAGGAGGGTCCACTGGGGACTTGGAGCTAACTTGGGGCAGAGCAGCTTTCGGCCTTCCCACGCAGGACTGATGGTCACTTGTATGTGTGTGTGTGCTGGGGATGCAACCCAGGGCCTTGCAAATGCTAAGCACACAGCTCTGCCACCTAGCTGCACCCCAGCCCCATCGGTTGCCTCTAACCCCACTGCCTCTAAGCAGAGAAGGGGGATTGGCGGGTTTGAGTCCCCACCTCTGTGTGTGTGTGTGTGTGTGACCCCAAGAAAGTGACATCCCCTTTTGGTTTCTGTTTCTTGCTCTTCTCCCCCATAAAATCGAGATAATAGTACTACAGGTCACCCTCGTGAGGTCCACTTGAGAGCAGAATAGCCAGTGAAAGCTCAGGCCAGCTGCTCTTTCCTTATTTGGGAGCCTTTGGTTGTGGGGGGAGAGACTTGATGTTAGGGGAGCCATCCTCCACTGATCCAGTCAAGGTCTCTGGGTCTCTGGTCCCTTGTGGGCAGGGGACCAGGTGCTATGTAGGGCCTGAGGCCTCAGGGACTGAACCCCCACCCTTGAACAGCTGGCTGTACAGAGGAGACTTATTTTTAGAAGTTGATGTGGCTTATGGGCAGAAAAGAAAGGGGGGGCCTCCGGCAGGATATGCTGGGGGCTGCAGGTGGGAGCCGCTTCCTCACCTCTAATTGTAAGAGCGTTGGCCAGCTATGAGGAGGTTCTGAAGGATAGCTTAGGGCCTAGAAAATTGGAGCCCAGAAAGACACAGACTTGTGGCCACAACTGTTCAGCACACAGTGGCAAGACCCAGGGTCCTGTCCTCTACCAGATGATACGACTTCTCCAAGTCTTGGTGGGGGCTTTCACTGAATCTGCCAGCAGGAAAAGCCCCAGGCCAGACCTGGTTAGAGGGTACAGAGGGCTTCCTGGTTCAAACAGCCTTTGGCACATGGTTCCTCCAGGCGGGAGCCTCAGGCAGCGGTCTTCCAGTTACTGAAAGCATTTCCTTGGGTCTCCTTCCACCCCCTGGACTGCTGAACCAGATCCTGGTCCTCAGCCAGGAGGAAGCACTGAGTCAGCTAGGGGTGGAGCTGGAAGTGGGTCTGTGGGGGCAGCGCTGGGCCATGGGCTGAAGGTCATGGCTATGGAGCAGGTATAGAGGCTGCATAGTGCACCCAGTCAGTCTTCCAAGTGAGAATATGGGCTCTGGAACCTAGAGATAAACTTCTATCCTGCATTTCCTTGCTGTGCAGCTAGAGCAAAACGCTCCACCCCAAACTGCTTTCCTTATCTAGATTAGGGGAAGCTGGTGTTACCTCCAGGCTTCTCCAGAGCCTGGTAGCCCCAGGAAGGCTCAGTCATTGGAGACTGGGGATTCTTGGAGCTGCTAAAGTAGCGTCTAGAGCCTGGAGGCCAGGTGCAGCCCCCTATGAGGACTGTCTCCCCCAGGGTCGCCTTCTGCTCATTGTGCTATGCTCCTTGGCCTTCTCTGCCGTCTACATCCTCCTGTGCTGCTGGGCCTGCCTGCCCCTCTGCCTGGCGACCTGCCTGGACCGCCATCTTCCTGTGGGCTCCAACCCCACTGTGCCAGGCCCCCTGCACTTCAGTGGATACAGCAGTGTGCCGGATGGAAAGGTGAGTCAGCCAGGTCATGTGGTCAGTGCTGCCAGGATGCCCCCAACTCCAGGGGCTAGTGAGAACTGGGCTTGTGCCAGGCCAGCCTAGATACTGAACTTGACCTCTCTGCTCACCAGCTATGTGAGCGCTGCCAGTCACTTTGTCTCACTGAGCCCTAAATTCTCGGAGGAAACAGTCTTTTTGTATTATGCAAATGTGGCCTGCCTGCTCCCAGCTGGATGCTGGGGATATAAAGATGGGGCAGACAGGGTGACTGCTCACCCGGGAGGCAGTGCAGCGGGAGGGATGGACACCATCCTAGCATTGTGATGGATGGCTCGTGCCTTTCGTGTACCCGCGATCTGTATAACGTGTGTACTTGGCACCTGCAGAGTGTCTGGTCTTGTGCTGACTGTTGTGAAGGACAGAGAGATGGCATAAATGAAGGTCATGTCCCATGCCACTGCTCTTCCTCTATGAGGGAGACAGGGCCACTGGGGTACAAGTTTTGACAAGGCAGGTGTGGCCTTTGCCCGTGGTGCTCACCTCTTCACACTGGCTCTGCCTGGTGAGGTTTGGGGCACGTCACACTCCTTGTCCTGTTGTTGATGGCCCCATGTGGTAGGTTTGCTATTTAGCTATTCTCTCAAAGGTGTCCTGCGTTGATGGACGTCCCCTGGTTCTCAGTATGGTGGGCTCTTGAAATATTGGTAAAGGGCGTGTGCTCAGGAACCCTGCCTTACTGGAGATGGGTTTTGGGTCTCTTCCCTGTGAACCTCAGTTGCCTTCTCATCCATAAATATGGGATGAAGAAGCCTGGCACCAGTGGCTCCAGCCTGTAATCCTAGCTATTCATGGGGCAGAAATCAGGAGGATCACCATTCAAAGTCAGCTCCAGGCAAATAGTTCACGAGACCCTATCTTGAAAAAAAAAAATCACAAAAAGGGGCTGGTGAAGTGGGTCAAGGTGTAGGCCCTGAGCTCAAACCCCAGTGCACCAAAAGAACAACTAAATTAAAAATATAAAGACTTTGTGAGAGCAAGGACAATACTGCTCAGGGCTGGTGGTGACCTAGGATCAGAACAGACCCTTGATTGTCAGGACAGCCCAAACCAAGGGCAGAATAAAGAAGTCTTGTTCTTTTATCACTGGGGCACAGAAAGTGGGCCTCCAAGTCCTTAAGTCAACATCATCAAATATAAAATATCCCTGAGTGGGATTTCATAGTGTGTTTTTTAGCCAGTCACTCTCTGGGCATTTAAAAAGATCTTAGAGGCTGGGTATGATAGTTCATATCTATAAGCCCAGCACTTGGGAGACAGGCAGGAGTATTCCAACTTTTCTGTGCTAGCCTGGTTACATAGTGAGTTTGAGGCCAGCCTGCACTGCATACCAAGACTCTGTCTCAAAACAAACTTTTTTTCTCTTTTCTTTTTTTTTTTTTGAGGTACTGGAGTTTGAACTCAGGAACTTGAGCTTGCTAGGCAGGTGCTCTACCACTTGAGCCAGTCTTTTTTTGCTTTGGTTTTATTTTATTTAATTAATTAATTTGTTCATTTATTTATTTATTTATTTTTGTGGTAGTAGGGTTTGAACTTAGGGCCTTCACCTAGAGTCACTCCACCAGCCCTTTCTTGTGATGGGTTTTTTCAAGATAGGGTCTTGTGAACTATTTGCCCAGACTGGTTTTGAACCGTGATCCTCCTGATCTCTGCCTCCTGAGTAGCTAGGATTACAGGCATGAGCCATCGGTGCCTGGCTTGCTTTGTTTATTTTTGAGATAGAGTCTTGAAGTATGCCCAGGCAGACCTTGACCCTGATCCTCTTTACTTTTCCCATATAACTGGGATGACTGGAATGACAGGCGTGTGTCACCATGCCCAGGCCCAGTTTTTATTGGTTGAGATGAAGTCTCCTCTCCCCCCACTCGCCTCTAGCCATGATCTTTTTTTGTGGCACTGGGGTTTGAACGCAGGGCCTCACATTTGCTAGGCAGGCACTCTTACTGCTTGAGCCATTCCGCCAGCCCTAGCCATGATCTTGATCTCAGCCTCCTAAGTAGCTAGGATTATAGGCTTGAGCCACCAAGCCCAGCTAAATCAGTTTTATTGAGAAGTCAGAGAGAGGATTATTGGCTTTCACGTGGAAAAATATCATCTGCTCCCTGAGTTTGGGCAGGAATTTTCCTGCTGCAAAGAATCCACTGTGTGTCCTCCATCTCCAGCCTCTAGGCAGCCTATTCTTGCACTTTCCTTCATCTGTGTCTGACCAGCTCATTTCCTCCAGCCATTTTCCAGTGCCTCCTCTCAAGTGAGCCAGGCAGATGTTGGCCCATTTTTACAGATGGGGGAATTGAGGCTCACAGATGCAGAGAGCCTAAGGCCACACAGCTAGGGATGGGCAGAGCCAGGATCAGGCTGAGAACCAGAGATTCCCAAAGCTGTTGTAGGCACTGAGACCCCTTCTTTTACTCATAAACCGGGTGCACTATGGGTGGGAAGGGAGGGGCCTAAGAGTTCTAAAGAACTGAGATTTGTGTTTACTTAACAAATGTTGATACGACATCCTGTCTGTTTCAGGAACTGGTCTAAGTTCTTTATAAATACCTGCTCCTGTAGCCTTAACAAGGTCCCTAGCATGCACAAACTATTAAGGACTTAGGAACAACAACAGTGACAGATACGGCTGATGAGGAAGCCACAGGATTCCTGTAGAATCTTAGTTGTCCCTTGCTATCTATCTGTGTGACCTTGGGAAAGTCACTCTGTCTGCCCATCTGCCAAATGGGTTAAGATCAGCCCTTGGAGGCGGGTGGGGTGGCTCACGTGGTAGAGCGCTTGCCTAGCAAGTGTGAGGCCCTGAATTCAAACCCCAGTGCCACCAAAAAAAAAAAAAAAATCAGTCTTTGAACGGATACAGCCATCCGTGGCCATGATGGGGAAGGGAGGAGCAGGTGGGTGGAAGCAGTGTCCAAGTCTCCCCCTTTCTCTCTCTCTCCCCTGCAGCCGCTCATCCGTGAACCATGCCACAGCTGTGCCGTGGTGTCCAGCTCCGGCCAGATGCTGGGCTCGGGTCTGGGTGCCCAGATCGACAGTGCTGAATGTGTACTACGTATGAACCAGGCGCCCACTGTGGGCTTTGAGGCGGACGTGGGCCAGCGGAGCACTCTGCGTGTCATCTCGCACACGAGCGTGCCGCTGCTGCTCCGCAACTACTCACACTACTTCCAGCAGGCCCGAGACACGCTCTATGTGGTGTGGGGCCAGGGCAGGCACATGGACCGGGTTCTGGGCGGCCGGACCTACCGCACGCTGCTGCAGCTCACCCAGATGTACCCTGGCCTGCAGGTGTACACCTTTACCGAGCGCATGATGGCCTACTGTGACCAGATCTTCCAGGATGAGACAGGCAAGAACCGGTGAGCCAGGCTGGCAGCTGGGCCTGCCCTCTCCAGGTGCCCCCTGTCTGTCCTGGGTCTGCCTCGGTGCTCAGCAGACCCTAGTGGTCCTGGCTTCTAAATGGGGGGCCGAAGGCGGTGGACCATCAAGCACCGGTTTAGAATCTAGTGGTGGCGAGGGGCATCGGGCCTTGCAAACAGGTGATGGGGCATTGACTGACTGAGGAGGTGTTAGGGGGCGCTGCCCTCTGGAGCAGATGGTCTGAGACCTGAGTCGGTCTCTGAGGTCCCTTCCGGATAACAGAAGGAATAGTTACAGTAAGAGCAGCCTCCCAGCCCTTCACGGTTTTAGTTTGTTTTTCAGATAGGGTCTTGAGCTATCTTTGCCCAGACTGGCCTCCAATCTCTACCTCCTGAGTGGCTGGATTACAGGCATGTACAACCGTGTCTGGCCCTCTCCTATTTCATCTCTTCCCTAAAAGGGCCCTCTGAACTCCCACCAGCCCCTTCTCCACACACCTGCTCCTCCCAGCTCAAGAAGTAGAACCATCAGCCTCTAGTGGTTCATCCAAAGACATGGGTTTCGCCCAGCTTCTCTCATGCCATTTGTCCCCTGCCACATACAATTGGCTCTTGAATCTCCTTCCATGCTTTTGGTGGCACCTCAGTCCCAGCCACTATCTTTTCTTGTCCTTGTAGCAGCCCCTCCCCAGGCTCTCTGCAATGCCCTTGCCCCTCCAGTCTGGGCCCCTCCTGCTCCATGACTTTCTTCCCATCAGTCCTCCACCCTCAGTCCCCCAGCAGCTTTACATTATACTGAGAACAAAGTTCAGACTCCCCTTCTCGCTCTCCTGCCCTGCCTGCCCTGAGATCTGGCTCTTTCACTCCCTGGGCCGTCATCTGTGGTCCTCTGACATCCACTCTTGTTCCCACCTGTAGGCCTTTGCACATTCCTGCTGCCTGGAACGTTCTTCTCCCAATCTTCCCATGCCATCCAGGTCTGGATGAGATGTCACCTTAGGGAAGCCCTCTCTGACCATCTTACCTGATGGATCACTTCCTGCCCTGACATTCCTTACCTCATTATTCTATTTCACCATCTTGGCAGCAGGCGTCACCCTCTGACACCTTGTTTACGTATTTGTCTTCCAGCTCCCCCTTCCCCTGAGAATGTTAGCACTAGGTATGACAGGTTCCGGGCCAGCCCAGGGCCTAGGAGGTCCTCAGTTTAAATGAATGTCAGGACCGGTTGAGGTGGGTGGCCCTCAGCGGCTTGGGTACCTAGTGCTGCTGCCTCTAAATTGCTGAGGCCTGGGGCTGCCCTCTGTGCCAGGGGAGACGCGAGATGGGAACTGACTGACAGGACTCCCTCCCTGAAGCCCCCTATGATTATCCCCATTTTATAGAGGCTCAGAGAGGTTAATGAGCACGATAGGGTTGGAATGGAAGAGCATTTGACTCAAAACATTCTTCCCATTACACATTTACCCACTGTGCTTGCTGCAGCCTACTGTCTCCCCAGGCCTGGTCCCTTAGATAGACGAGGGGAGGATGCGGCCAGAGCCTCACCCCCCATCACCAGGGTTTGGGAAGCATGACTTGGCTGGGTGGTGAACAGACCTGGGTTTGCATCCAGCTCTACCTCTGGCCCACTGCTGCCCATGGGCCGGCTCTGCCCCTTCCCCAGCCTCCTCCAGAACTTCCTCCCTAGAGGTGAAGTGAGTGGACTAAGAAGGAAGCCTGTACTGCTGCCCTGGGAGCGGAGGGTGCAGGAGGGACTGGCTGACTGTATTTCCACGTCCCCCAGGAGGCAGTCGGGCTCCTTCCTGAGCACTGGCTGGTTTACCATGATTCTGGCCCTGGAGCTGTGCGAGGAGATCGTGGTGTACGGGATGGTCAGCGACAGCTACTGCAGGTCAGACCAGCCGCAGGGTGGAGGGGACCGGGGAGGGCATGGGTCCCTCCAGAGCCTCAAGCTGGAGGGTCAAGAAGCTGTAGAGGCTTCATAGACGGGTGGCTTCATGCTGGGTGGCCAAGGCACAGACACTCCTCAGTGCCAGGCCTTGGGAACAAGCCATGATACCACCCCAGCCCTGCTGTGTGGCCTGGGCTACCTGATACCTCCTGGAGCCTCTGCCTCTTATAAGATCCAGAAAGGAATTGCACCTGTGGGCTGGGGGCATGGCTCAGTGGCAGAGCACTTGCCTAGCATGCATGAGGTCCCAGGCTCCATTTCCAGCACTGGGGGTAAACCCCCCGCCACGATTCTCAGAAAGTTCTTCAACAGTTAGGGAGTAATCTACACACATTGCAGGCACATATACATATTTGAGATATGTTACAGAGAAATTTTAGTTTTATTGTTTGGGCAGTGTGGCACTAGGATTTGAACTCAGGGCCTCGCATTTACTAGGCAGGCGCTCGCTCTACCACTTGAGCCACTTTGCCAGCACTTTTTTGTGATGGGTATTTTCAAGATAAGGTCTTGTGAACTATTTGCCCAGGCTGGCTTCCAACCTCCATCTTCCTGGTCTCTGCCTCTCAAGTAGCTAGAATCACAGGTGTGAGCAACTGGTGCCCAGCTTAAGAGTTTTTAGTTTTCAAAGTATTTAAACACCATAATATCAAGTTCAGAAATGGGTATGGTATTGTTTTGTAACGCTGTTACCTAACGCTATTATATTTCAATATTTTTATAACTAAGTAGTTCAGAAAAGAGCCCATTTTTCACTCTCTGTTCTCTTCGGAATCCATTTCTTGAGCATGTGGGCGAGACGGCAGGAGCTGAGTGCCCCTGGGCAGGTGGGTGTGCAGGGGTGCCAACTGTGCATGGGGAACTGAGGGCCGCCTTCACCAGTATTCCCGGACCCACAGGGCACTTCTCAGCCTTTGTCCTTGCCCTGGAAGGCGGATGTCCTCATCTCCCTGTACAGATGGGCTGTTGAGGCTCACAGGGTGCATCTGATCCAGAGTCACCCATCTTAGAAGAGGCAGAGCTGGGGCTCTGTGGAACCCTGGCTACTGGGTTCCACAGCTGTGGTGCTCCTCCCCTATCTGTCTTGGCCTTCCCCGGGGCCGGGCTTGGTCTCCCTGGGCCTACAATACCCGAGGAGGGGTGGCCGTGGGAGGTGGGCAGCTTGCCTGTCTCCTGCCAGTCCTGTTTGCACCCTGCAGGGAGAAGAGCCACCCCTCTGTGCCTTACCACTACTTTGAGAAGGGCCGGCTAGACGAGTGCCAGATGTACCTGGCACATGAGCGGGCACCCCGTAGTGCCCACCGCTTCATCACTGAGAAGGCTGTGTTCTCCCGCTGGGCCAAGAAGAGACCCATTGTGTTCGCCCACCCATCCTGGAGGGTCAAGTAGCCCCTGTGACCTGCAGCTGGCATTCCTCCGTGGGCCACCGCACTCTACCAAGAGCATTTAATTTATGACTTTTACCTCCTGCGACATGCCAGGGCAACCTAGGGTTCCTTCCTGCCCCTCCCTGGGGTTATTTGGAGCAGTCTCTAGCCTCATGGCTTGAGAGGGAGTGGAGGAGGTGCCCTTGTCTCCACTCCTGCTCCCTGAAGAATCCATATCTTCATTTTGGGGTTCATCCCAACACCAGGTCTTTCAAGTGGCCTTTGCCCTGGGCTGATGGCCCTGCACTCACCAGCATCTTGACCTTAGGCCAGTCCTGATCCTTCTACCTACCCCCACCTCCTTTGGTGCCATATTCTCAATCTGTTGCCCTGCTTCCGGCAGCCTGGGGCCCAGGGTTTGCTGGACAGAGGGCCTTTGTGTCTTTAGACAGGGCCATCTTAGGAGTGTACGGGTAAACGTATGTTTTCTGGACACTGTCTAGCGTGGTCATGGGTCTGGGGCGGGGATTGAGACTTCTTTCCCTGACACAGTTCTGTAACCTGCTGACTGGAGGGCAGGCCAAGCCCTGTGGCCCTTCCCAGGCCTAAATTAGCAGGCTAGGCTTTAGCATTTCATCTGCCAGTGCCTATCTGCCCCATTGCTGGTGGTACCTCCCCAGCCCCTTCCCCACCAGGCCAGGAAAGCGGCTCCAGGTCCAGGCTTCTCTGGGACCTTTGCTCTGTGCTTTTGGGACCCCAGCCTAGGACCTGGAAGGACTGCAGGTGGGAAGGAAATTCCACCCCTTGTCTGGGTGGGAAGGAAATTCCACCCTGTGTCCCTTTCCTGGCCATGGGTCAAATTCCAAAGACTTAGCCAGTTAAATTTCTATTAACTCTGGACTTGGTCCCTTTCCAAGACAGGAAGGTGGAGGGCAGCCCTGGGTGGGTGCTGTGGTGGTGGGGGGGGTGTTGACTGGAGGTGAGTCAGCCCTGAACCAGGCCCCAGGAGGATGCCTGTCCGTTTGTGAGCATCTCTTTCCTCACCTGTGCAGTGGAAAAACAGACTCACCACCCCACTGCATATGAGGTTGCGGAGCTTCACAGAGGAAGCAGGCAATGTGGCAGAGTCCAGGTGGTTGCCAGGCAGCATGGGGTGGCTGAGCTAGGAGGCAATCAGGCCGAGAGCTGATTAGCCCTGCCACCCCCCCTTCATTGGGAGACTAAAGGTAGAGCCTTGGGGTCTAGTACTCAGTCCCAGGGGTCAGTGTGCTTTTGTGTGACCTGTGCAGTCACCTGAGCTCAGCTTAATCTCTGTTGTCACCAACTTGAAATTCTTCATAATTTTTTTTTTTCTAACAAGAAGCTTCACATTTTCACTTTGCACTGGACCCTAAAAATGTGTGACGCCCTGTGCTAAAGGCTCTGAGTGACCTGGTGCCCTCTCACTCTTGCCCTTGGCTTCTCAGGAGAGCCTGGAGACTTGGCACCTGGCCTACAGCACTGCCTCCCCATCGAGTACCAGGCAGCCCAGAAGGTTTTGAATGAGTGGGAGGGGGAGAAGAGCCCTGAGCTGGGGGAGCAGGCTGGCAGCCAAACCACATCCGCTGGCCTGGCAGTGACCAGGGTCTCTGACAGGAATTTATTAGAGGTAAGGGTGGGGTGGGGGCTGAGAGAGAGGAACCTGGAGTCAGACATAGCCTCATTCTGGCTTCACTTCCTGCTGGGGGACCCTGGGAAATTAGTGCCTTCCCTGGGCTTCAGTTTCCTCACCTATTAAGGTATTAATATAGTCCCTACCTCACAGGCTTGTATGAGTTGAGATGTTAGACTACCTCTGGGGTTTGTCAAGTTGACACTTCACACAAGGGGACCAGCATTTTAAATAGGGTTGGCCTTCAGCTGACCCTGCTCTGCCTTGGTATAGGTGGACAGCAGGCTGTCCATCCCATTAACTGCCTCCCTGCTCATGACCTCGACCTGAATGTCCAAGGCCCAGGCTTCTGTGGGTCCTGGTGGCACTCAGCCTCAGAGAGGCTGTGTCCTATTCCTCCTCTTTGCCCCTAGGAAATGCTGGCCTGGCCCTTGGACCCAGAGCACAGAGGCTTCTCTGTCTTGGCCCTGCCCTTGGGTGGGGTGTTTATACTGCGGGCTGGCCCAGTTATCTTCCTGGCTTGGTAGCCTGCAGGATAGGTTCAGCAGCCACTTTCTCCAGGCCTCTGGAGATGCCCCCATACAGGCCTGCTGGCTGGTTCCAGGACTGCTGAAGACTCTCCTGACAATGAGACCGAGGATCCCCCTCTTTGGGCACGGCATGCCCTGTGGCTGCTGGAAGGTGAGTGGGGGGCAGGAACCATCCCACATTTCTGAGGAGTAAGGGTGCACCTCGGTCGTGTAGTCCCTCTTTGGGCCTGTTTTCCTGTCCACACCTTGGTTCTTTTGTCCCTCATCTTGCTGGGGACCAACCCACCCATCCAACCTCCACTTGAGGCTGGAGGGAGGGGCCAGGTAAGCCTCACAGTATGAGGTACCCTGGGGCTTCTTCCTTAGAGGGGCCTAGGGCCAGGCTGGGAGCTTATGCTCCAACTTCATCTACCCAGGTGAGGAAAGGGACACTAGGCCTAGGGACATCTGTGTCCAGCTCCTGGCTGGGAAGACTCAGGTCCTGGTCTTCAGGCACTTCCTGGGAGCAGCTCCTTGTCCAGGCCCTCACCTGCCAGCCACTCCCTCTGGCTTCTCCCTGGCCTTTCTTCTCCAGAGGCTGAAAGGCAAGAATCCTTAGGCCGGGTTTTCCCTGCTGAGCTCAGTGTAGTTACCCTCTGGGGAGTCTAGGGAAAACCCTGTCCTACCTCTCAGAGCCTTGGTTTTAGTTGCTTTCTTTCTTATTTTGGTAGGAGTGGGATTTGAACTCAGGACTTTGCACTTGCAAAGGCAGGCATTCTACTTCTTGGACCACACCTCCAGTCCTGGTGTTTGATTTTTTGAGACAGGGTCTCATTATGCAGCCCAGACTGGCCTGGAACTCACTGTTCTGCCTCAGTCTCCTGAGTGCTGGGATTATAGGTATGCACCACCATACCTAGCTCTGAGTTTTAGTTTCTGTAAATTTGGGATTTGGGATGGTAGAAGGAGTTCTAGTGTTTTTTTCCAGAATACTATGGAAGGGAAGAATCCTCACACCACAAAGCAGCTTGCTAAAGGGGGGAGGGATGCAGCTTTGTGGTAGAACACTGCTCCTGCATCTGATATGGCCCTGGGTTCCATTCTTAGCACAGCCCCCTCAAAATAAAAAGGTTGGGAATAAAGAGATGTGGGGGGAGGGTGGTTGTCACACACAAGACCCCCACTCCGAGGGGAAGGAAGGACTGAAACATGGGCTCTTCCAGAGCATGGGGTAGGTGTGTGGGGGGGACCACCAGGACTGGTCAGAGATGCCCATCTGTGAGTGTCTTGGTGTAGGCTGGCCCAGCTCTCCCAGGCTTGTGGACTCTGCAGAACAGCTCCGTGGGTGCTAAACAGACCTAGTGGAATCCCAGCCTCGGTTTCATCTGGAAAGTGGGCTAACAGTACCATGTCATAGGTTATTTTAGGGTTCAGTGAGGTACGTTTGTAAGGTACTTAGCACAGTGTAAACATCCCACAAAGGAGCAGTCATCCTTATTATGGAAGTGGCTGTGTTTATTTTCTGGGTGCAGGCAGGAAGCCAGGCCTCCTGGAGTAAGCCTGGGTCCAGAGGCCTGAAGGAGGAGCTCCAGGTCTGGCTTTGGTCCAGGGACACCTCATTTTCTGGTTCCAGTCCTGGGGATAGGCTGCCACCTCTGGCATATCCTCTAACCTTACCGTGTGGCCTAGGGCTAGGGGCTTCCCTTTTCCAAACAATTGAGCAGTCAGGTTCATCAGGCTTCCTGTCTGCTTCCCCCACCTCCACCCCCTTCTCCATTCTGGTCCTATGGGGTGAGGCCAGGTGTCAATAGAGCCCAGGAATAGGGAAGCCAGGAGGTGGACTCAGAGGGGCAGGAAGCCCCGTTTCCCCTCCTGTGGGCCACCTCCCCCCATGACTGGTGCTTTTACAATCTGGAGGCTAGACCTTGCCTCCTTCCCCACTTGTTCTAACTAAGAACAAAGTTGTTAATTTACCAAATTGTTACAATGCAGACAACCTTGAAGTTTACACAGCTAAACTTGAAGGTGGCCTACCCCTCCTGCTCACCTGCACTGGAATCATTGATGGGCTCTGCTGCACGCCTTTTGTGAGCGTTTATAGACATGGCAATTTGGGTTTCTGCCATTGAGGTTTTATTTTTTGCAGTACTGGAATTTGTGCTTGCTAGGCAGAGGCTCTACTGCCTGCCCCCAGCCTACAACTGTGGGATTTTTTTAAAGAAAAAGAAGGAAAAAAAAACATTGTGTGACCATTATCTTAATATTTTTTTGGAAAATATAGTTGAGCAAAAGATTTTTAAAAGAGCAGCCCCAAATCATTCCACCACTATTAATACTTTATATAATGATTAAGAACAATTTTTTTGAGATGTGGTCTACTGTGTAGTCCAGCCTGGCTTCACACTCTTGAACCTCCTGCCTCAGCCTTCCTAGTAGCTGGGATTATAGGCATGAGCCACCATGCCTGACTCCACTAACCCTTTAATCTCGATGGGCAAGGGTATCTTATTTTCATCTTCTTCTTTGCACCATTCTTTTTAAGCATGGCGATACACACAAACATCTGTATCGTATTTGTAAGTTTAAAAGTATGCTAATGTTACAAACCTCTTGAACTCAATCCCTACTTAAAGATCAGAGCAGTATTACAATGTGTACAGCTCTTTTTTTTTTATTCGTTTATTCAATGTGCATACATTGTTTGGGTCATTTCTCCCCCCGCCCCCCGTCCCTACCCTCTTCTCCCCACCCTCTCCCCCCACCTCCCCTCCACCCCTCGATTCCAGGCAGAACCTGTTCTGCCTTTATCTCTAATTTTGTTGAAGAGAAAACACACGTATTTTTGCTAGTTGAGAGAAGGACAGCTATACAGAGATTCCGAGCATTGCTTCCATGTACAAATGTGTTACAACCCATGTTGATTCATCTCTAACTGATCTTGATCTTTACGCTGGTTCCTGATCCCCTTCTCATGTTGATCTCTGTCGCTTTAAGGTTTCTGTATTGTTCCTCTGGAGTGGGGACATCAAACGCTTTCATGTTTTGGGTTTACTACCTATCCCCATGTGTACTGCTCTTAATTTCCTCCCTTAGAGTCAGTTCCTCCCTTAGAGACAGAAGTGTGTTTTCTGTTTTGTTTTGTTTTTGTTTTTTTCTGTACTGGGGATTGAACCCAGTGTCTCATGCATGCTAGGCAAACACTTTTTTTTGGCAGTGCTGAGTTTTGAACTCAGGGCCTTGTGCTTGCAAGGCAGATGCTCTACCATTTGAGCCATTCCACCAGCCCTTGTGTTGCGTACTTTCAAAGTAGGGTCTCTCAAACTATTTGCTCAGGCTGGCTTTGAACCTTGATCCTCCTGATCTCTGCCTCCCAAGTAGCTAGGATTACAGGTGCGAGCCATGGTTCTCAGCCAAAACTGTATTCTTGACTTTTGCTTTTAAAATTTTCATCCCTGCAATAGATAACAGCTCTCTCTGCCTCTGGCTGTGAGAGACTGCCTGCTTTATCCTTTAGCAATGCTGTATGGTTGGATTCATCTCACATTTGTCTTTTTCACTCCCCATGTCTCTTAACAGCTGTCTGTGTAACCATAGCTCATGCATTTCCCCTGCTGTATAATACTCCACGGTGTGAATGTTCCATACAGTAAAAAACTTCCTTTCTCCTGTTGACGAATATTTTGACTATTTCCACTTTTGTATTATTTCAAACCCTGCTGCTGTGAGCTTTGGTGTGTAATTTGCAAGGATTTCTCCAAGGTAACGAGTACCCAGGTGTGGGATGAAAATTTTACCATTTTGTTTTCCAAAGTGATTCTGTAAGATGCAGTTCTTTCAACTTGCTCTCTTCACTTAAGTACCTTTTCCAGGCAGTGCACGTGGACTGTGTGCTTCATTTAAACAGCCTCAGAGGGTGTGTGGGCAGGCCGTACTGATGTTTATGTAACAATGGCTACTTAAATTGATTTTTTTTTTTACTGTCACATAAATTGATGTATTAGAAGAAGTAACTTTTTTTTTTTTTTTTTTTTTGGTGGTACTGGGGTTTGAACTGAGAGCCGCACACTTGTTATAGGCAGGCGTTGTACCACTTGAGCCATTGCCACCAGCCCTTTTTGGATTTTTTCGAGAGAGGGTCTTGCGAACTATTTACCCAGGGCTGGCTTCCAGCTTCGATCCTCCTAATCTCTGCCTCCTGAGTAGCTAGGATTACAGGCGTGAGCCACGGGTACTGGCTATAAGAAATGACATTTTAAATTCTATTCTGGCCATTTCCCGGGGGAAGTAGTGTAGCAAGGCTGGAGCTAGTGCATGGCAGCGCCGTCAGGAATCCAACAGTGAACCAGGGTGACTTCTGAGTTCCAGGCCCTGGGCAGGGAGCTGGAGGCCCTAGATGGAGGCGCCCAGGGAGAAACTCCTCAGTTCAAGCCCAGTGCGCTCCGGGACTCAGTTTCCCATTAAGAAGAGGTAGAAGTGGGTCAGACTCACACTGTAGGGCTCCGAAAGGCTGTCGTTAGTTTCACTGTCATTACGTCTGTGCAAAAGGGTGAGTGATGCGCCCGCGGGGCTCCAGGACGCGGGTCGACCGCCCCTCACCCTTCCTCACCGGCTCCACCCTGGGGCGGAGCCACCGAGGCCCCGCCCCCTTCCAGCCGGGGCTGCGCGCGGCGGCGCTAGGACCCGGCGGGCGGGGGCTGCGGCGGGGCCTGGGCGGCCAGAGCTGCGCGGACCCCCGGCTCTCGGCTCCCGGCGCCATGTGAGGGGGATCAGGGGCCGCGGGGGGCCGGGCGCTCCCCGGCGGAGGTGAGCGGGGGCCGCGCGAGCGAGGGGGGTGCGGGGCTGCCTGCGCAGGGAGGATCGTGAACTGCTGGTGAGGGGCATTGACGCGGGGTCCCGGGAGGCTCCCCTAGACCCAATTCCCCTGGGGAACCGCGCCCCGAGATCCCGGTCCTTGCACCTAAAGGCTCGCGGGGTTCATTGGGCCTCCTGCCGCTGACTCCCGGGTAGAGCTCGGGGACCCTGCGGCAGGGCCGCCTCTCTTCCCTCCCGAGCAGGGGTTAGGGCTCCGGACCCCCGGAGTGCCGGAGTTGGGGAGAGGTCGGCGCGAAGGGGGCGCGGTGGCGGGCCCCTTCCCCGGTGATCGCGGCGTCCCCATCACCGCGCAATTGGGAGCCCCCTCCCCCTTCTCCCCGGAGCCTCCTCCCACGCACCTCGTGGGGCCGTCCCGACCCCCACGCGTCTCCCCGCGTGAGAAGCAGAGCCCCCGACAGACGGCAGGGTGTGGCCCCCACCCCGGCTCGGAGCCCGGCCCTTCCTGCGCACATCCAGCCTCGGGCCACGCTCTGGACAGCCGCCTCCCCAGCCCGCGCCAGCCGCGCCCCGCCAGGCCCGCTCCCTGGTGCCCCGCCAGGTGCCAGGCTCACTCACCGCGTCCCGTGTTCCGCTCCGGCCGCGGGGGAGCCCCTGGCAAGCTCCGCCAGTAAGCAAGGCTCCCCCACTGGCCCTGGGCGGCCTGCAAGGCACTTTCCCTCTCTGAACCTCATTTTCCTTAGCTGGCGGTGGTGCCAGGAGGAGTCAGTGAGTGCGAGATGCCTAGCATGGCTCTGGTCCCTAGGATTAGGGGAAAGTCACTGGGTTGGGGTCAGGGGAGGAGGAGTGTTTCCCTGACAACGTAATTAGGCGCGGGCGTTGAACAAGGAGCAACCCCAAGACTACCAGCTGCTGGCTGGCATTGATGGAGTCAGTGCACCCCTTGCCATGTTGGCTGGAATCCTTCCAGTAACCCCAAGAGTTACCTACTCTTTATCATTCCCATTTCGCAGATGAGGAAGCTGAGGCTCAGAGAGGTCACATGGCTTCCTCGAGGCCCCCCAGCCAGTAAGTGGTGGACCTGACATTCGCACTGGCACCTGACATGCTGTACTGATCATGGCCTTCTCAGAGCAGGACTGTGACGGGGCTGACCAGGGGGACCGTGGTCCTGGCTGAGGGCACTGCTCAGGCAAAGGTGGGAAAGTGGGGGGTGGGCTTGGGACCTGGAGTGTTCTAGGTGTCTGGAGCGCGGGGCATGCAGAGGAAAGGGTAGTAAGGCCGAGGTCCGGCTCAGTGCGGTGGCTGGGCCCGTGAGCGCCTTGCTTGGCGGAGACGGCAGGGCTAATGGGGTGACCCTAGGATTTCGGACTTATGTCGTTTGCCCTAATGGTCTGTGGGTCAAAGGACAAACTGCTGTTCTCTTCTGATGAGCCTCAGTTTCCAGATCTGTGCAGCGGGGACAGGTGGGAGCTCGGGTTCTCTCTAACTGGCTGTGAGGGGCTGGCCTTTGTTGAAACACCGAGGCTGGGGTGGGGGGGCACAGCGGGGAGGGGGCGGGGTTCTGCGGAGGGTGGGGCCAGGCCTGACCATTCAGGAGCCGGTGTGTGTGTGGAGCTCTGGCCTGAGGTTGTCCGACTATTCCTGGTGACAGTAAACAGCAGCTAGGTCAGGAGGCGGAGATAGTGACAGGGGCTGAGAGGCCCCTGGAGGAGGGCACGGAGCCGGGGAGTCCCCGAGGCCAGGCCGGGTTTTCTCCCCGTGCACACCCTCCCTTTCCATCCTCTGGCCTCTGGCTACTGGAGGTGGGCTGGAAGCAAGTACTTGGTTCTGTTTACAGGTGGGCAAATCGAAGCCTGGGGAAAGGCTAGGCCCCAGTGAGGTGGGAGGAGAGAATTGAAGAGTAAGGAGCAGAGCTGGGTTGTTCCCCTCAGGCTCAGACTGGGGCAGGAAGGAAGGCTGCCCACAGCTGTGATTGCAGCCATTACAGATAAGGAGGCTCTCTCAGACTCTGACCCCAAGGTCCCACTGGCTAATGCCTGAACCCGTTCATCCATACAGTTCCTGCTGTCTGCTTAGCTGTGGAGGACCTGTGTGGGCTGTGCCCCCAGGGAGCTTTCAGCCTTGGAAGAGAAGAAGAGCCAGGGAGGTTCCTGGTCCACCCTAGGCCTAGAGGATGAGTGGGAGTCAGGAGGGTGCGGGAAGGAGGGTGTTCTGGACAGACAGGCATGACCTGGAAGGAGTCTGGAGACCCCGGGACCCAGGGCGGGGTTTAGAGCAGGATGTGAATGGGGCTCTTGCTGTGGATGGATCAGTCCTTGCTAAGGGAAGAGAATGGACAGTGAGCGAGACAGGGCTCTGCCATCACCAGCTGTGTCGCCTCAGGCAGATTCCTTCCCTTTCTGAGCCTCAAAATGGATACAGCCCTGAGCCTTAGTGTTCTGGGTGATAGGAGAGCTCTGGCTAAAGAGGACAAGGCCTTTGACCAGCCAGACCCAGGGAGGTTGCCCAGGCCATAATCCTTTCTGGTGGCTTGCAGGTGTGACCCCACATCCCTGCCCCCCGGGCCGCCTGCAGGACGCTGACCCCTACCCCTCCGCAGACGCCGGAGAGAGATGAGTAGCAACAAAGTAAGTCCCCTTCTTTTCTTATCCCCATTCGAGCCTTCTTGCTTCTCTCTGTGAAATGGGCTCCTTTGGACCCGCCTCTGGTCCAGCCACCAGGACTGTCCAATCAACAAGGAGAGCTGATGCCTGGGAGGCCCGGGATTGAGTCCTGCTCAATTGAGTGACGCTGGGAACTCCTGTCTGTCTGTCATCCTACGCTTGACTGATCTATCTGTGGTAACTGTGGAGTGCGTGCAGGAGGTGGGGTGGGAAGGTAAGGTGAGCAAGAGGCTGAGGAGAGGAGCAGTGTACAGCAAATGACACAATGTGAGCACCACACTGATGTCAGGATTCCCCAGCATTCATTCATTCATTCATGCTTTTCTGAGTACCTGTGTATGCCTTGGCTCTATTACAGCCTTGGCAGAGTGTGAGGCTCGAAGGTGGGGTGGAGGTGACTGTATTAGTCTTGTCTAGGACGGAGGCCACACTGTATTTTGATTATTATCAACTATAACAGAGCATTGGAGTAACAAGGGGTTGGAATTCTAAGGAACATAGATGTCTCTGAGTTACCATGGTTTTACTTAGGACTTCTTTCTTTTTTTCTTTCTTTTCTTTTTTTTTTTTTGGTGGGACTGGGGATTGAACTCAGGGCTTTGAGCTTACAAAGTACTCGTGCTATCACTTGAGCCACACCTCCAGTCCATTTTGCTCTGGTTGTTTTGGTGATGGGGATCTCTCGAACTGTCTTCCTGGGCTGGCTTCAAACCACAATCCTCCCAGTCTCTCCCTCCTAAGTTGCTAGGATTACAGGCGCGAGCCACCAGTGTCTGACTTGATTTAGGATTTTTGACTTTCTTTTTTTTTTTTATTGGCAGTACTTGTGTTTGAATTCAGGGCCTGTTACTTGCTAGGCAGGCGCTCTACCACTTGAGCCACTCCACCAGCCCTTTTTTGTGTTGGGCATTTTTGAGATAGGGTCAGGAGAACTATTTGCCTGGGCTGGCTTCGAAGTATAATCTTCCTGATCTCTGCCTCCCGAGTAGCTAAGATTACAGGCATGAACCACTGGTGCCTAGCTTGATTTTTGATCTTTTCCATGGCTGGCATATGCAGTATGCCCCTCTCTGGTGATGCTGAACAGGGCGAGCCGCAGTTCCGAGTCAGCTCTGTGATCACGAGAGGAAACCATGACTCTCTCCAGTGCAGTGTTGCTAAGCCAGGATGATCAGCTGGCTAGAGAATTTAATGCATTTTCCCACTTGTGGTATTTTCAACTTCTGACCGGTTTATCAGGAGAAAACCCAGTCATCCGTCAAGGAGCTTCAGTGCAAGAACAGCAGGTGCAAGGAGCACCTCACACCAAGGGCTGAGATCCACTGCTGTAGCCCACTGCCCCTGCCCCCCACGGCACTGCCCCAAGGAGGGGAAGCTGCTGTGCATGGCAGGAGGTGGACTTGGAAGAAGCTGTGATCACAGCAGGAGCTGAGGCACTGGTGTCAGTCATGGCTGCTGCGTACTGCTAGCCTCTGGGCACTGGGGAAGATGCCCATGCTGGAGGAGCCTCCCCTTGCAAGCCCACCAGAACCCAGGCACAAATGCCTTTCCCCCTGCAGCGGCCCTCCAGCGCCGCCTACTGGCAATGCTTAATGCAGCTGGCTGGTGAGGGAAAATATTTAAAGGGCCCAGATCCATTTTCACAGAACAAGCAAAACAAGTGAACGTGGAGCTGAGAGGCAATAGTCATTCCCTGGTATACACGGGGTTGGTTTGGATGCTCAAGCCCCTTACATAGAATGGCTTGGTATTTACATATTACCTGTGTACATCGTCCTGTATACTCTAAGTGTCTCTATATGACCTGTAGTACCTCTTACAATGTCGGTTCTATGGAAGTAGTTGTTATACTGTGTTGTTTAGGGAATAATGACAAGGAAACCCCGTATATGTTCAGTACAGACACCGCCATGGTAGACCTAACTACACTTTCAAGCCATGGTTGGCCGAACCTGTGGGTGTGGAAACTGCAGATGTGAGAGAGTCAGTAACTGGTAGAGAGTTACTGTTTGGGGGAAGACCCCACCTGTCTCTGGCTGTCCTTTCAGCTGCATGTGGAAGGAATCCTGACTCCATATCCAATTCAGTCCAGCAAACCTTCTGTGCTGCAGGCCCTGCTCTGGGACTTGGGTGCAAGGCCGACCCAGTCCCAGTCCTCAGAGCTCCTGGCCTAATTGAGGGGATGGCACTTTGAAGACAGTGTGATCAGTGCTGTGACAGAGGGAATATTCAGGTGGTGGCCTCATGAGTCTGGCATGAAGGCCAGGCGGGAGCTTGCATGGTGCTCAGCAAGGAGGTGCCTGGCCTAGCCTGCGGGTGCTTGCGCCCTCAACGACCCCCTCTCTCTCCAGGAGCAGCGATCAGCAGTGTTCGTGATCCTCTTTGCCCTCATCACCATCCTCATCCTCTACAGCTCCAACAGTGCTAATGAGGTCTTCCACTACGGCTCCCTTCGGGGCCGCACGCGTCGGCCTGTCAACCTGAAGAAGTGGAGTGTCACTGACGGTTACATCCCCATTCTTGGCAACAAGGTAGAGTGGCCACTGGTTCTGGTGTTGATCTTCCTATTTCCTTCCTCGTCTGCCTCTTCCCTCCTGAAGGAAAGGTTCAACGAACCCCATGAGTCCAGGACCTGGCTGCTGGTGATTTTAGCCCCTCTGCGGCCCTCAGTTCTCTCCACGGTCTCCTGAATCAGGATCCCTTTGGAATTGTGTCTCTGGTTTCCACACATCTCTGTGGAGTGCATCTGGGCTTGGAAGCAGGACGCCGGGGTCCTGGACAACCCAAACGCAGGGATAATCATGACAGCTCTTTATTGAGCTAGCTCTGTGATCATCAGTAATCGTTAGGCAGGTCCTATAGGGTCAGTGTTGATATTTCCCTTGAAGAGATGGGGCAGTTGAGGCTCAGAGAGGTGAAGTCACTTAAGGCTCAGAGAGGTGAAGTCACTTATCCAAGGCCACACAGTGTGGAAGGGGAGGAGCCAGAATATTTCCCCAACCCCTGCTCAATTGCAGCTGTGTAGAAAGTCCAAGCCATTGCTGGTGGTCTGTAGTGAGGATTCAGCTCTGTCACCCCTCTGGCCCTTGTTTGGCAGTCATTTCTGAGTAGCCATGAACTCCAGGTTGTATTTCTGGGGTTCACCCTGAGGTTCTCTTCACTGAATTTTCCCTAGGGCCTTTGCATATGAGTAGAGAGCCCTGACTCTGAACACTTTGGCTGGAAAGGGGCCCATAAGCGCCTGATTGAGTCTTTCTGTACCTTCAGAACTCTTTTTTTTTTTTTTTTTTTTTTGTGATACTGAGGTTTGAACTCAGGGCTTCATGGTTGCTAGGCAGGCGCTCTACCACTTGAACCACTCCAGCCCCTTTTTTTGTGTTGGGTATTTGATTTGATTTATGTGCGGTACTGGGGTTTGAACTCAGGGGTTACATGCTTAGGTAGGCAGGAGCTCTACCACCTGAGTTTCTAGCCCTGTGTTGGATATTTTCAAGAGAGGGTCTCATGAACTATTTGCCCAGCTGGTCTTGAACCTCAGTCCCCCTGATCTCTGCCTCTCAAGTAGCTGGGATTATAGATGTGAGCCACTGGCACCCGGCCCAGTATCACTTCTTGAGGGAAGGAGCCAGGTGTCTTTTGCTCATTGCTCTGTCCCCAGCACTGGGCCCAACTGATTATAAATTTTTAGTGGCTGTTGAATAAGTGGGCTTTCATTTCCCAGCGTTTAAAGTGGCGTAACGGTTCCTGGAAGAGTGCAGGGCCCACAGAGTGGTTGTGATGCTGTTGACTTTCCTTGTTCCCCAGACACTGCCTTCCCGTTGTCACCAGTGTGTGATTGTCACCAGCTCCAGCCATCTTCTGGGCACCAAGCTGGGCCCTGAGATCGAGCGGGCCGAGTGTACCATCCGCATGAACGATGCGCCCACCACAGGCTACTCGGCCGATGTGGGCAACAAAACCACCTTCCGCGTGGTGGCTCACTCCAGCGTGTACCGCGTGCTGCGGAGGCCCCAGGAGTTTGTCAACAGGACCCCCGAAACTGTGTTCATCTTCTGGGGTCCCCCAAGCAAGATGCAGAAGCCCCAGGGTAGCCTCGTGCATGTCATCCAACGGGCAGGCCTGGCGTTCCCCAACATGGAGGCCTACGCCGTGTCTCCCAGCCGCATGCAACAGTTTGACGACCTCTTCCGGGGTGAGACTGGAAAGGACAGGTACCAGCTTCCCGCCTGCCCCCTCCAGCAGCCTCCGTCTCAGCATGCTCCTCCCAGAGGCCCTGCTGCTCCTAAGCATGCACTGCTCTGAGGGTGTGGTCACTTCCTGTCACCCTCTGGTCAGGTTTCCTAGGAGCGATCTCTGCATGTCCAGCTGCTGACATGGGTCATCTCCAACACGCTGTGAATTCCCTCATCTACCCAGAAGGGCCTCCTCCCAGCATGCACCACGCTGAGGGAACAAGGATTCCAGCCTGCTCTTCTCAAGGCTCCCCAGATGCTCCTAGCATCTTTCTAACCTTGCTTCCCATAGTGTCACCCCAGTGTAAAGCCTTGAGTCCTCCCGGCATGCCTTGCTTTAAGCAGTTACTCCCAGCATGCTCTTCTGTAATAACCTCCCTAGAAAATCTAGATCAGCACCCCTCTTTTTTTTTTTTTTTTTTTTTGGTGGTAATGGGGTTTGAACTCAGGGCCTCAAGATTGGCCCTGGGTATTTTTGAGATAGGGTCTTGCAAACTATTTGCTGGACTGGCCTTGAACCACGATACTCCTGACTCTGCCTCCTGAGTAGCTAGGATTACAGGCGTGAGCCACTGATGACCTGCTCAGATAGCCACATTTAAAAAGTAAAAACAAATGAAACCAAAACAACAAAAAAAGCAGGTACATTTAACTTTACTATATTGTATTTAACCCAAGATTTGTTCAACATATAGCTCCTATACATACTTGTTAGATTTATACTTAATTATTATTAAAAAATTTTTAGAGCTATTATAAATGATACTTAAAGTTTTATTTTCAGTTCCCAGTTGTTCATTGCTTAATATATTATCAAAAAATGATTGGTTTTTGTGTGTTGACCTTGTAATTGCTAAACTCACTTATTTGTTCTAGGACTTTGGGGTTTGAACTCAGGGCTTTGTGCTTGCTAGTCAGGTAGGCAGGTGCTCTACCACTTGGGCCATGCCTTCAGGCTGGTTCTAGGACATTTTTAGAGATTCTTTAGACTGTTCTATGCAGATAATCATGTTTTATGCAAATAAGGACAGTGTTAGCACTTCCTTTCCAATCTATGCCTCTGATTTATTTTTTCTTGCCTTATTGCAATGACTAGTACTTTCAGTATGATGTTAATTGTATAGGAAGTAATGAAAGTGGACTTCTTCCCTTGGTGCTAGTCTTACAGAAGAAGCATTCAGTCTTTGAATGATGTTATCTTCAGGGTTTTTTGGTGGCTAAATCTTTATCAGGCTTAGGAAGTTCTCTTGATAGTTTACTGAGAAGTTTTACCATTACTGGGTTTTTTGTTTTTGTTTTTGCATTACTGGAATTTGAACTCAGGGCCTGGTACTTGCTAAGCAGGCACTGTACCTGTTGAGTTACTCCTCTAGCCCTGGGTATTTTTTATACAATATTTTTGGGGAGCAATTGATGTGATCACATAGTTTTTCTTGACTATTAATAAGTATATTATATTGACTTTTTTGAATATTAAATCAGGTTTACATTTCTAGAATAAACTTCACTTGGTTGTGGTGTATTTTTCTTTTTAAATATTGCTGGATATGATATGCTAATATTTTGTTGAAATTTTTGTGTTTATGTCTGTGAGAAATATTGGTCTGTAAGGTTTTTTTGTTTGTTTTTATTTTTTGTGACACTGGGGATTGAACATAGGTCCTTGAGCACACTAGGCAAGCACTCTATCCCTGAGCCCTGCCTTCAGCCCCTGCAGAGTTTTTTGTCATTATTCTGGTTTTGCCCAGCTTTGGTATCAGGATTACGCTGGCCTCAAAAAATGCATTAATTCCTTCTTCTATTTTCTGGACGAAATGATGTAGAATTGGTATTATTTCTCTTTAAATGTTTGCTAGTTTGCCAGCCAAATTATCTGGGTCTGATGAGTCCTTTCTCAGAAGGTTTTGGTTTGTTTTGCTTTTTCTTTTTTAGTGCTGGAGATTGAACCCAGATCTCTAAGCATGCTAAGCAAATGCTCTACCCCTAGAAGGGTCCCTAGACCCTTCTTTTTTTTTGACTAGAAATTCAATTTCTTTGATATTTATGAGATGTTCAGGTTACCTGTTTCATCTTGGATAGTTTATGAGTTTTAAGGAGCCGGCCCATTTCATCTAAGTTGTCAATATATATGTAGGTTGTTTTGGAATTTTCTTATCCTTTCCATGTCTGTCAGGGGGAATGGTAACATCCCTTTTTTACTTCTGATATTGGTAATTTGTGTCATCTCTCTCTTTGTCAGTCTTGCTAGAGGTGTGGGCTTTTTCAAAGAATTACCTTCCACAAAATATATGTAAAATATTTTCAGTTTAACATGTAATGAGTGTAAAAAATTATAAGTGACATATTCTGCCTCTGTTTTTCACTACCAGCGTGAGTACCATACCTCTCAACCCCACGCTAAGTAGTGGCCACTGTAGTGGAAGCACAGCCCCACATTCTTGGCTGCTCTCCCACGCCTCGCTCTGCACTGTGGTCACTCCACCATGACCTTCTCTGATTAGTCTTCCCTTAGCAGTTTGCTCCTAGCTTGGGCACAACTGCTTTTAGCAGGTCATGGTCACTCCCATGCCAGCTGTGACTGGTCTCCCCGAGAGCATATTCCCAGCATGCCATTCCCACACTTCCCCTCAAAGGCGCTCGCTCCATGCCCTCATCTCCCTGCACATGCACTCCCCCAGCCCGACCAGGGGTAACTGAAATGGGGGCAGGACCCCGGTGGGTGGGTGGAAAGAGTTTCTGGGAAACTCCTTTCAAGTGGCCATTCCTCCCTGCCTGTTCCCCACCCCCGCCTGCATGTCCCTTCATTGTGACCCCTCTCTGTCCCCAGGGAAAAGTCTCATTCATGGTTGAGTACAGGCTGGTTTACCGTGGCAATTGCAGTGGAGTTGTGTGACCACGTGCACGTCTATGGCATGGTCCCCCCTGACTACTGCAGGTGAGCCCCCCTGGCCGGCACCCTCCAGGTGCCATACAAGGGACAATGTCCTTTTGTATTGTTGTATGAAAAGCCTACTAGACGACTGCTGTATTTTACTGAGTGCTGACCATGTACCAACCATGGCTGCAACCCTAGGGGATAGGTACTGTCATTCTCATAGATGAGGAAAACTAAGGAAAGCGTTTTTATTGTTGTTGGTTTTAGCATATGTTAATTGTGCCAAGTAAGGAGTTTCATCAATGACATTTCCAAGTGAAGAGGATGTTTGGTGAGGGTCCTATGGCCTCACAAACAGGAAGGGGTGAGCTGGGCTCCAGTGCTCAGGGCTCCTACCACTGCCCTACACTGCTGCTCGCAGGGGAGGGGAAAGTTTCGGTTCATTTAGAGAAGGGGGGTGAATATGGTCAAATACATTACATATATACAGCTATGGAAAAAGTCATAGTGAAACCCGTTAGCAAGTGTACAAGATATTTTTTAAAATATTTACAACCAAAAAAAGTTTGATAGTCACAAATATAGTCCTCCTTATATACGCTCTATAGGTAGGTATATCCTGGGATTTCCCCCACTGAGGTCTTATAGCAGGTGAGGGGCTGGAAGGGCAGGGATGCCGCTGGTGCCCACCCTGCCCTGACGCCCCATCTGCTGTGCCCCAGCCAGCGGCCCCGCCTGCAACGCATGGCCTACCACTACTACGAGCCCAAGGGGCCAGATGAGTGTGTCACCTACATCCAGAACGAGCACAGCCGCAAGGGCAACCACCACCGCTTCATCACAGAGAAGAGGGTCTTCTCATCCTGGGCGCAGCTGTACGGCATCACGTTCTCCCACCCCTCCTGGACCTAGGCCATCCTGTCTGTGGATCTCAGGAGGGGCACCATAGGAGTGGCTGTGGGCCCAGCCACTGGACCATGGCCGTCTTCTGGCCATCAAGGCTGGCTGGAGTGCCTCCTGACCAATTAGGGCCTTCGTGGGGATGTACCCTTCAGCTAATCAGGGCCTGGGGTATCTCTTGGCCAATCAGGGATTTGGATTCTATGTGGTTAATCAAGGGTGTCAGGGGTTTCTTCTTGTCCCGTCAGGGTCTGAGTACAGTCAGTCAGGGTATGGGGTCTTTCTGAGTCAATCTGAGGCTAAGGGCATTCCTTTCCCATGAGGCCTTGGTTCAGAGCTCCAGAAACAGACCCCAAATCACTCCCTACTTACCCGGGACAATGGGGTCTTGTCCCAAGGAGCTAGAAACTTGGTGTTGTCCCCTCAGTTCTCAGCATCATAGAGACTGGGGAGGCGGGAGCTGTCTGGAGGCCTGGCTTAGAGAATTTGTGGGGTCATGAAAGTTGTCGGGAAACCCAAGAGCTGGGAGCCAGTGTCCAGGTCTTGCCTTCTCCCTGAGTGAGCTTAGACAAGCCTCTCCCTCTCTCTGGGCACCCTTCTGCCCATGGCAGGTTCTAATGTGGAGTCCAAGACCCTCCTATCCCCTCCACTAACCACCATGTCCTTCCTAAGACTGGATTCCCAGTCACCACTCCTTGCTGGGAGACTCCGTTCCCTGGGGAGCTGGGGTGCCCTTCCCCACTGTCTTCTGGAAGACTTTAGGGTGTTTTCATGCAAACTCCCCAGGGTTGGGGGACTGACAGAAATAGGACAAACCTTAAGCTGTTTTCTTAGCCTGTAGCCCACCTGCCATTAGCTTGGCTCCCAAAAGGCCAGGACTCCTTTCTGCCCTCCAGCAGCTGGGGTCTCCACCTGTTGGAGGAGCCTTTGGGGCTGAGGAAGGGGGATTCCAGCTACCCAGGGGTTCCCTGCAGCCTTTGTTTGGAGAGGACAAGGGCTTGGGGGTGCATTCTCACTCCCACCTCGGTCCTGGGATGGCTGTTAGGAGCCAGGAGCTTGTCACCTGGGTTCTGTCCCTGATTTATTAAAGCCAGGGCTGGGTTGGGTGTGTTTGCCCCCTGCTCTTCTGGATCCTGCAAGGAAAGGGCTTCCAGGAGGAGGCTGTAGAGTGGGAGGGGTCAGCAGAGGAGGCAAGCCATGAGCCATTGCACATCGGGCCAGGGGGGCTGTGACAACCCCAGACCTGGTTTTGTAATGATTTGTACAGGAATAAACACACCTAATGCTCCACATTCGAGTCCTGTGTCTTGTGTCGAGCTCAGTTTTTTCTGGCTCAGATGGGGGTCCTACAGACCTTGCCGAGGGGTGGCAGTCAGCCTTTTCAGCTGGCAGGTGAATCTTGGATCCAGACCTGACGGCTTTGGGGCCTTGCTTTTCTTGGCCCCACCTCACGCTGTCTGTATGACCTTGGGCAAGTCACTTCATCTGTGAGAATTCCAGTTCCCTGTGGTCAAATCAGGACCAGACACTGCTCAAGTTCTGGAGCACCCCAAGTTCTAGGAAGAATTCCTGCAAAGGTTGGGGGGAAGACACTAGCCTCCAGGAGCAGATTTTGAGAAAAGGAGGGAAAAGGCCAGGGTCTGGAGGGTGGCAGGCAGGGTGGGGCCAGAGGTCGGCTCTAGGGCCTGGAGGCCTGAGGACAGGGAAATTTCCTGCCAGGCCTATCAGGATCAGGAGTCTGGTGGGGGACACTCGTGTTGCTGCTTAGCACACCAGGCTGACTCCTGAGATTACAGCCTGTTTAGGCAGATAAGATACCACTGAGACCAAGGCCTAACAAAGGGTGACTGTGTGGGACAAGGGCAGGCAGCCTGCTCGGATCTCCCCGGGGCATCTGGGGATGGAAAGAGAAACCCTCCTAGGCTCCCTGCCATCAGGATGGTGGACCACCGGGGCTGGGCAGCAAGAATGACACCTTGCACTTGACTCTCATTCCACGTGCTCCTACTTAATGAAGGAGGGAATGTCAGCTGGGTGGAATGTAATGGACAAAAGCCAAGTGGTGCGACCCACAGCCGTGCTCAGCAGCAGTGAGGTGGCAGCAGCAGAAGGGAACAGTGAGAGGTGATCCTCAAGGCCAGATGGCAAAAGGCCAGGAATGTTGGCTGAGGGTGGCGAGCCAAGGTCCTTCTGGCCTGCAGAAGTCCCATGGGGTGGCAGCAGCGGGCTGGGCAGGAGGCTGGGAGGCTGCAAGGCCCAGGGTTGGGCCAGGCACTGTGGAGGGCAGGAACTCCTTGCCGTGTCCTGCCATGGGGTTCCTAGAGCCCTGCATGGACCTGGAGATGGGGCATGCTTCCAACTCCATGCAAAGGCTTCTGGGAATCTGGGTCGAGGCTGAAGTTTCTGGGTGGAATTTCTCCAGAGCACTGCAGCTCTTCTGTGTACCCACTAGTGGGTGTGAGGCGGAGGCCAGTAGTGGGTGTCAAGAGGGCTCAGTTACAGGGTGTGGGCCGTGGGGAAGTTCAGTTGAACATCAGGAGGTGACATTTGAGTGAAGGACGCTGAAGGAAGCCCTCGGACCTGGTCCTCCACGCTACCTTTCTTCCCCCCAGGGTGCTCATTACCCAAGTCAGCTTCCTGAAGCCCACCTCTTCACAGCCCTCATTGCTCTGAAACCTACACTCACTGGCCAGGACCAAACCCGCCTCCCTGTGTAGCATTCCAGCACCCACGTCTGTGTGTGCACTGTTTCCTGGGTGGCTCCGAGAGCCCGTGCCACATGTCTCCTCTCTGCAAGAGGGCACTGCCTCACGCTGCCTCGGGGCGGGCACCTCCCGCTGCACCTCCCACCAGCTGCAAACCCAGTGCCTGCTCCTCTGCAGTTTTCCTCTCTGGATTTCCTGTCCAGCTATTTCCTGGAGACCTACCTGGGGCAGCCCTGTCCTGCACTCCCAGACCCCATCCATGACCCAACTGTGATTCTCAGGGTAAGGCATTTCAGGATCATTTTCCCCGTTCAGGGTTTGTTTCAAACCTTGCAATGCTTTCTGTCATCAAATATTCTTGTTTGTTTTTTGACTCAGGGTCTCCCTGTGTCGCCCAGGCTGGACTTGAACTCTCCATTGTCCTGCCTCAGCCTCTCAGGTGCTAGGATTACAAGTGTGTACCACCATGCCTAGCTTTAAAAAAAATGGGATTTTTTTGGTACTGGGATTTGAACTCAGGACCTACACCTTTAGCCACTCTACCAGCTCTTTTTTATTAAGGTTTGTTTTTTTTTTCCACTTTGGTCTCACTTAATGTTATGAAGTGAAAGTGTACAAAATTGATCAGGAGAGGGAGGGGGAACAAGGAGAATGATGGAGGGGTGAATTCAACTACAATACATTGTAAGAACTTTGGTAAATGTCACAATGTGCCCCCAGAACAACAATAAAAATATTTTTAAAAAAGAAAATATGCGTCATTGTCATAGTTTTACTTTCATAAGATATACTGATGTTTATAACTCTCTTACTTCTTTTGTGAAGGTTTTTTTTTTTTTTTTTTTTGAGATAGGTTCTTTCAAACTATTTGCCCAGGATGGCTTCAAACTGCAATCCTCCTGATCTCTGCCTACAAGTAGGTAGGATTGCAGGTGTAAGCCCCAGCGCCTGGCTCTTTTTTTTTATTCTGTAGTTTATGGCTGGGAAATAAAAATCCCAAAACAATATCCCAGCCCTGGTGGAAAGTCTATAGGTTATATCAAATAAAATAAAACAGATGCTTTAATATTTTTCTAATTAAAAATTTGTTTTATCTTAAAAAATCATGGTTAAAAGACACATCATAGGTCAGGTGCTGATAGCCCTATCTCAAAAAACCCTTCACAAAAAATAGGGCTGGTGGAGTGGCTCAAGGTGAAGGCCCTGAGTTCAAGCCCCAGTACCACAGAAAAAAAGAAAGACTCATCATGGGCTGGCAGAGTGGCTCAAGCAGTAAGAGCACCTATCTAACAAGTGTGAGGCCCTGAGTTCAAACCCCAGTGCCGCACCCCCCCCCAGAAAAAAAGACACGTAATAAATTACCATATTAACCATTTCACACTGTTTTGCAATAGATCTTCAGAACTTTTTGGTCTTGCTGGTCTGAAACTCTGTCCCCATTAAACCCTAATTGCCTACCTAATTTCCTCCAGTCACAGCCATTCTACTTTCTGTTTCTGTGGGTATGACTGCTCTAGGTGCCTCAAATAAGTTGGAATCATACCGTACTTGCCTTTTTGTGATTGGCTGGATATACGTAGCCTAATGCCTGTAAGGTTCGTCTAAATTAAAACTGTCTTAGATGTAAAGTAGAAGATAGTTCTTGTACAGTAAGCAGCCAAAGTCTCACCCCACCAGGGGGTCATATGGTCACACACACAAGGCCTCTGCGCTTTGTCACTGCTAACAGGCTCTTGTTTGATAGTAAAACAGAATAATTAAAAAAAAAAATACAGATTTCATACACACACACACACACACACACTACAGTCATTTTTAGGCAGGTGGGATCACACCCAGGCAGGTGGGCTTCTTGTGTATTTCTTACTAAGTCTGGGGTCTCCTACCCCACCAGCCATGAAGAAATATCCGGCTTCCTGTCCCACACAGACCCTTTGGCAGTCACGGCCTCCCACCCACCCCACTGTGCCACTGTCCCAGTCTATCCCGGCTGACACTAGGAACCCTGTATGAATTTTGTGCCCACAAGAATTTCCTGAAATGGATTTCTAAGAGTGGCTCAAGTGGTAGAGTGCCTGCCTAGCAAGCGTGAGGCCCTGAGTTCAAACCCCACTGCACACACACACACACACACACACACACACACACCAAATAAATAAATAGAAAGGGGCAGTGGAAATTTTGGCAGGGATTCACGCACCTGCCAATGGCTTTGAGAAGGCCTTTCAAACCAGTTTCATGCAGGGCGCTGGCTCACTGCCTTCCCATAGATAGGAAACTAAAGTCCTAAGAAGTAAGGACTTGTTTGATTGATGTCACAGGTGGGAGAGCTGCAACTAGACCTGGGCTTCCTGGTGTCTGGGCTGCTGTTATTGCCAAGACACCTTCACTTGAGATGGTCTTACTCTCTTGGTAGTCTCACACTCTTGCTCAAATACCTTCCATAGCTCCCTAGTACTATAAGATGAATTCTAAATTCAGTCTCTACTCTCCCCACATCTGGAGCCACTGTTTTCAAGGTCTCATGTGGGTGGTGAGGAGTTCAGAACCTGGGCGATCCTGGGCTCCCATCCCTGCCCTGCTACATTATTGAGCACTTACTACTGTGCCAATTGTCCTGAGAAACCAACACTGGGTAGCACATGGCTTTCCACCAGGTACCTCAGGGCAGTGCCAAAGTCCTCCTCTGTGCTGAGGAGTCACAGTCTCAGCTAGAGTCTGCTACTCCACCCATGGCTGGAGCACAGGGTGCTTGCTCATGGGAGCTGATCTCTGTCAGGATAGTCAGCACCCCATCTGGGTACCCAGAGTGCTCCCCTGACCAGAGGGGATTGGCTTTTCATAGTCTGCCCAACCACCAGATCTCTGGTGTCCTGGGAGTCGCAGAGGAGCTCAAAGGGTCCCTCTCAACAGGGGAAGGAGGAGTCCTAAAGGGTCTTGGCCCAGGACCTCTGGTCAGGGTATAAGGAAGAATGTGGGAACTGTGGCCCCAGAGCCCCAAGGTCCAGGCTCTCCCTCCCTTCCTGATCTGGCCTCTCTCTGCCACCAACACGCTACAGGATCTTGTGCAAAGAACCTCATCTCTCCAGACCTCAGTTTCCCCTGCTGTCCTGGGGGAGCTTAGCCTCGTCCCCCCAGAGTGATGTGGGCACAGTGGAGGTAGCAGAAATGGAAAACTGTGTGTGGTACAGTCCTCCGTGGTGCACAGTGGGGTGCCGGTCTTGCCCTGGCTTCCATCAAGGCTCCACTCAGTCCGTCCCGCTCCCTCTTTTCCTCCCTCCTCCCTCTCTCCCTCCCTGCTGGCTCCCAGCATGCCCTGCGCTGACAGCCTTATAAATAGTCGCCTTTGCAGGCGGCTGGTGAGGACGGGTAGGGTACGCACTGGTCCCAGCGCCCACCGCATCCTCCCCCAGGTCAGTATGCAACTGCCCAGTGGCTCTGTGGATGCCCTGGGCGGTGGGCGCCACCGCGGGGAATGGGGACGTGTCACCTGGGGGCGGGCGGGGTGTGTTTGTGCCTGGCTACCCTTGAGTTTTGCACGTCTGTGTGTTTGTATCCATGGTTATGATCTGTGTGTATTTGCATGTCTGTGTTCCCTGGGCTCTGGGTTTTGTGCCACACTGAGTGTGCCTTTGTGGATCCGTGTGTGTGTGTGTGTGTGTGTGTGTGTGTGTGTGTAGTCCCTCCCAACCTTCTAGACCCCTTTGTCCTGGCTGGCACTCCTGGGGCACCAGGTCTCTGCCCTTGTCACGTCCCAGCTGGGGCCCAAAGAGGGGGAGCTGTGGCTGGGCTCCCTGCCCCAGAGGACTTGGGCATGGGGCAGCCTGTGTGCTCAGAGAGGCTATCAAGTGTTGGGGGAACCCAGAGCCCTTGGATGCTCAACCCTGCCCCAGCATCTTGCCAAGACAGGGGCTCTGTGGGAGCCCTGGGGTCTGCAGGTGGGGCCTTGCTGAAGCCCTGCTCAACTGTCCACCCAAATCTTCAGCAGCAGCAGTCAGGCCAGAGAGGGTACACGGGCTGCCCAAGGTCACACAGCTGAGTGGTAGAGTTGGGATTTGAACCCTGGCCGGTTGTTAACCACTGGGAGAACTGCTCTTGGGTGAGCAGCTGGGAGACCTAGACTTTGCCCCAGGCTCCCCTTGTGCTTAGGGTTAAGTCACTGTCCCTTGGGGCCACCTAGCAGGAGTAGCAGGGGCTGTGACCCAGGGGCCTTATGAGGCTTAGTGCTCAGCCTGTAACCCAACTCCATCCTGGACCCCTGGCCTCTGGGAGGCCTCCTCACTACCCAAGTTATTTTGGACCAAGGAAGTGGCAAGTGTCTGTAGGACTGAGAGGGGCTTAGGTTACCAGGGGGGTGAGGGGGTGGGGCGGGGCCACTCTCAGGGCTTCACTGTGACTGTCCCTGGCCCTGGACACTCCCCTTCCTCTGAGGGGTGCCTGGCATCTCTCAGGCCTCCTTCTGCACACTCAGCAGGACAAGCAGCTGTAACTCATGCCCTCTGGGTAGTGTGGTGTCAGCACAGCTGCTGAAGGTCCTACTCTGAGTCTCAGCGCCAGGTCTGGAGCAGCAGAAAATGCAGACCTGAGTTTGCCCCAGCCAGGCCCTCCTCTCCAATCCTCAGTTCCTTCTCCAGATGGAATAAGGCTCCTGGCCCTGTGGTCAGCCCAGCCCAGGCCCAGTTAGGTGGTGGTGGAGACACAGGCCCAAGGTACAGCAGAGCATCTGACGCCCCCGTGCTGTGTGTGATGCTGTGGAAAGTTTAGAGAGGACACTGCTAGTGTAGGAGTGCGGGATAGGGTCCAGGAGGGCTTCCTGAAGGAGGCAACCTGGAGTAAATGCCTAAACCCTAATCACTGGGGAAAAACTTCCAAGCATTGGTTGTTACTTTGCAAAGGCCTAGAGGGAGACATCACTGTAATGGGTAAGGGAACTCCAAGCAGTGGCAGCTGATAAAACCACTGAGGGTGCCAGGGGCCACATCGCTGGGCCCCATCAGGTATGTTGAGAGGTTCAAGGTTTGTCTTGGGAGCCAAAGGGACACGCATGGAAGAGGGGAAGCAGGCAAGGGGCCTGACACTTGCTTGTCAGGGAAAACCCTGTGGCCACTGGGGTAGGAATCCCGGAGGATGTGTGGAGGCAGGGAAGTAGGCCTACTTGGAATAAAGCAGTGGTGGGGACACCAGTTGGAGAGAGGCTCCTGAGCAAGAGGTTGGGACATGGGGACAAGTGGCCACAGTGACATGGGCTGGCTGCCCGTGGGCACGGGGGGGTGGGATTCCTAAGAACTAAAGACAAGAGCAAGGGGGCAGAGTGGGGCCCCACAGAGGTCAAGGGTTCAGGGAAGGGTGCTGGCCCAGGGGGAGGGCCAAGGCAAGAGTGTGCTGATGGCGTCTGGGGGCCTTGAGGCAGTGGGTAGGTGAGGAGGAGATAGGGCAGTTTTAGAAGCCTGGTCAGGAGAATACTGCAGGAGGTTGGGGGGTTGTGGAAGCTAGAGTCAGGGAATTAAGTCCTCACTGAGGTGAAAGGGGGGGGCAGAAGATGCACCTGCAAAAAGCAGGAGCCTGGGACCCAGGGCCACCTCACTTTAAAACTGAGAAGGGAGCCAGTGGCAGTGGTACACAACTGTAATCCTGACTACTCAGGAGGTGGAGATCAGGAGGGTTGTGGTTTGATGCCAACCCAGTCAAAAAGTTAGTGAGACCCCATTTCAACTAATAAAAAGCTGAGCATGGTGTCATGCACCTGCGATCCCAGCTGTGCAGGAATGTAGATAGGGGGATTTCAGTCCAGGCTGACCTGGGTATAGACCCAAGACCCTGTCCTCAAAATACCTAAAAGAAAAGGGGCTGGAGGCGTGGTTCAAGGGGTAGAGCACCTGTCTAGCAAGGGTAAGGCCTGAATTCAGCCCCAGTATCGCCAAAAAAAACAGCTGAGAGGGCTGGGGAAGTAGTTCAAATGGTAGAGTACCTGCCTAGTAATCCCAAGGCCCTGAGTTCAAACCCCAGTAACAGAAAAAGAACGGGGTGGGGAGAGGGAGGAAGAAAGGGAGGAAAGAAAAGAAAAGAAAAGAAACAGTTCCTCCTCTATGTGCCTTAGGGCATCCTCACTCCTCACTTGCTGTCAGTAGCCCCCTCCAGCCTCCCAACAGCAGCGTTGTCAAGGTGTCTGTGCAGACACTGGCCCCACTCCCTGTTCTAAGGAGTTGTCAGGGGGCGGGGCAGCTCCACAGCCATTGTTACATCCACCTGTGTGACCTCTACCCTTGTCTCTCCTTCAGACCAAGGTGGACTGGAGGGGTTACTTTGCCAAGGTCACCCCACCTCCTGGGTGGCTTCCCTGCCCCAGCCGCCCCTCCTCTGCCCTCTGATTGCATGTTGGGGCCTGGCACACGCCTGCCTCGCTGCTGTGGGTGTGGCTCAGAGTGGGAGGAGAAGGCTTCACCTCTGCCTGTTTCCTGTCTTGCAGAACACTGACCCAGCTCCTGGGACCTCCACGGGATGGACGGTAAGAGCTTTCCTTGCCTGGGGCTCAGCGTGCCCATCTGTGGAGGGAGTGTGCTGTCTGGGAGACAGTCTGGGAGGGTCAGAGGCAGTTCTGGGGCTGTCTGGGCCTCCAGCCTCCTCATCCAGCCTCTCATAGAATGTGCCAGCTCCAAGATTAATTTTAGAAGCCATGAGGCCTCCCGAGGCTTCTGGGGGGCCTAGAGCTCACCTCCTACGCTGGTATTTATAAAACTGAGTCTCTGCCTCTTTCTGGAGAGGGTGGGAGCTGGGGAGGGAGACCTGCCCTTTGAGTCAAGAAGTTGTCAGAACTCATGGACCAACCTGGCAAGGATAGGCAAGTTTCTTTCTCTCACTGGGACCCCACCATCTGGGTGACAACCCAGAGGGATGGGCCTTGAGGATGAGCCTTCCTGGCTCCCGTGCACTGGGACCTAAAGGGAGATATGGGGTGGGCAGAGGGCCTGGAATGGGCCAGCCCTGGCTTCTGGCAGTGCAATCCATCTATTCCCTGGCACTGGGCCTCAGCTTGGGTGGCTCTTTAAGGATCCAGTGGGCTGGCTGCTGCCACTGCCTGAAGCCAGTGGTTACCCTTCCCCCAGCTCAGAACCTCAGCTGCCACAAGGCTGTGGTCTCTCCCAGGCCCAAGCTGTGCCCTCCCTTCTGACTACTTCTTTAAGCCCCAGCCTCCCAGCCAGGGGGGACCCCTGGGAGCTGCCAAGCCCACCTCCTGGGCTGGGGACAGAGAATAGAGAGGGCAGGCATTTCTTTACTGAGGTCACAAAGCAAGGTGGTCTGTGAGCTGGTGCTGTTTCGGAGGAGGAGGAAAGCTCTGGAAGTCCAAAAGAAAGTCTCAGGTTCTGGTTTTGGTTCAACCCTTTTGAGTAGGCCTCATCTCTGGCCTCAGCTTCCTTCTGCTTAGTGGGCTGTGAGTTCTTTTTCTGAGGTGCTGGGGATGGAACCCAGGGCCTCAGGCATGTGACACAAATCCTCTTCTACCACTGAGCTATATCCCAGCCGGGACTGTGAGTTCTACCCAGGCAGAGTTTGGAAGGTAGACTCCCCTTCCTGTCTGGGCAAGAGTTCCACTTATCCACGTCAGCCCTCCTCCCTGCTGGGGCTGGCAAGAAATGGACAGGGCAAAGCCCGGGAGGGCAAAGGGAGAGGGGACCCAGCAGAAAGGAATCATGGACTGCTGTTCATCCAGTACCCCTCCACAAAGAGGAAAACAGGATGGCCAGAAGTGTCTAGTCACCCACAGGGAGGCGCCATGGTGGTTGGCATCCCAGACCCTTAGCTGTGCTGAGTTCTTAGCATCCAGACCTCTTCTCCCTCACTCTCCCAGCTCCTGAGAGTTCACTCACCTCCCTGCTCACTCTGGAAGCCTGAGCCATGTCCCTCTCTTTGCCTGGGACACAAAGGTGTCTCTGGCTGTTTGCTAGTGGGTGACCGAGTCCTTCTCCCCTATTCTCTCTGCAGAGAAACTGAAGAAAAGCAAGATCATCTTCGTGGTGGGTGAGTCACGGGCAGATGTGTGGTGGGTGAACAGGGAGGGTCGGTTGCAAGCACTGTGGCAGCCTGAGCCTGGGTCTGCCCCTCATACCTACCCTTCCCTCAATGGGGATCCTGGCAGTTCCGGTCCCTCCTGGGGCCCTGTGTCTTGGGGTTTCTGAATGAGTGAGCACTCGTAGGTGGGCCTGGCTCAGGGAAAGGCACCCAATGTGAGAAGATCGCGCAGAAGTATGGCTACACCCACCTCTCCACGGGGGACCTCCTGCGGGCCGAGGTCAAATCTGGCTCTGCTCGAGGCAAGAAGCTGTCAGAAATCATGGAGAAGGGACAGCTAGTGCCACTGGTGAGTGGCCCTGGTGACTAGGGTGGGGGGGGGTGACGTGACCTGAGAGGGTGCCAGTCAGCAATGCCTATGACACACTGGCTAGGCTGACCATGGTCCTCGCTTGTTCTGAGGCCTCCTGTGGCTCCCTATTGCCCCTAGCAGAAAGTTCCTCCCAGCAGCCCCCCAAAACCCTGAGGGACCCTGCCCTTATTCCCACTCTCAATCCCTTGCCATCTTGGCCTCAAACCAACCACACTCCATTCTGCCTGGAATGGTCTTTCTGTCTCAGTTTTCAAACCCTCCACTCCTATTTGGACTAAGACACCCCCGACACCGCCTCCCATTTTCTACTGCGCTAGCCTCCTCCTCTGCCCACACTAACTGCCATACTTGGAAACAGGCCAGCCATGTCATCGTGGGTCTCTTCCCCAAACGTTGAACTTCCCAGGGCAGATAAAGCCTCATCTGTTCAGGGTCATGACCTCTGGGCTCAGAACAGCACCAGACTGGCCAGGGGCTCCAAAAAAGAGTGAATCACCACCGAGCCAAGTTCTCCAGTCAGAGGAGACCCCTGGAGGCCGAGGCTGACCGGGACTTGTGTGCTCAAGGAGAGACAGCAGCTCAGGCGCAAAAGTCAAGAAGGGGCAGGGAAGGGAGGTTCAGGACACTCCTCTGTGCCCCACCTGCAGGAGACCGTGCTGGACATGCTCCGAGAAGCCATGCTGGCCAAAGTGGATTCTTCCAAAGGCTTCCTGATCGACGGCTACCCGAGGGAGGTGCAGCAGGGAGAAGAATTTGAGCGGCGGGTAAGGCGTGGGGCTGAGTGGGATGGCCTTGGGGCTGGGCTGAAGGGCAGAAGGGAGGGGCAGAGGGAGAGAGGGGCAGGTAGGAGGGCAGGAGGGAGGCCAGGAAGGCTTGAAGACTTGCTGGATGTCTTCCTAGAGGTCTAAAAATAAGGTGTAGTCGAAGAGAAAGCCCTCGGCTGGGCTCAGGGTCCAGCCATCATTTTACCTCCTTGAAACTCAGTTTCTCTATCTAAAAATGGTGGGAGACGGGTCACAGCTGACTTGAGGAAAAGCATGAGGATGCAAGAGGCAACACCCTCAAGTGTGGGGCTTGGTACCCCACAAACACATAGGGGGCAGGGAACAACATTGGCAGGGCTGGAAGGGTAAGGCGGCAGGGGGAGGACAGCATATGTGGCTCAGGGCAACCAGGGAGATGTGGGAGAGGGAAGTTCAAAGACCATCGGTCTCCTTCAGGGGACACAGGGAGCCTAGCTGGAAAGAACAGGCATTGAGAGTGATGGCTGCAAACTTTCTAGAACGGGAGCCCATAAGGAATGCTGTTATAGGGTAGGGCACCTCACACAAGTACACAGATGTACACAGGAACACATGCATGCACACGAGTCACACAGGGCACCTACACAAGGCCACATGCAATGCATGACACACAGATTCGTAAGGTAAGGGTTGCAGTGTACACTTTTGCACATACAAGCAGGGGTTCCCACTCCTATGTACATATGTGTGTGAACACACACACACACACTTGTCCAAGGCCATGCAGGGAACATGAGGCTGCAGGTGGCTAGGAGTGAGAGATCAGGAAGGGTGGGGTGGGGTAACTGGGCCCCATCCTCAGCCCTCCCCCCACCTCTCTGGGCCTCAGCCAGATAGGACTGTATTTCTTGACCTCTGACTTGTCAGCAAGACCTCAGAAAAGTGTCTCCCCGGCTCTGGGTCTTGGTCTTTCTCTCTGTGAAAGGGGCACTGGTTGGATTTCCTTCAGATCTGAGGGCCATGGACCCTGTGGTCAGGTGACAGGCAGCCCGGAGGGACATCCCGTCCTGGCCCACGTGCACCAGCTGTGGTACACCTGCAATGCTCAGGGACTCAGCTAGAAAGTGAAGTTGATGATAATCCCTGTCCCTTATGGGTGCTGAGGGTGACAGGCTCAACACAGGGACCTTGGCGAGGAGTCCAGGCCGCTGATCTTCTCAGCTCTAGACACCAGGGGGCGCCAGGGCTTCACTAAAGGAGGCAGGGTGGGCTGGAGATGTGGTCGCTCACTTGATTAAAGGCTCCAGAGCTCTCCTGGGGTGGACAGTGCCCAGCGCCCACACCTCAGACTAGATGTTCATGGTCCCAACGGAGGCCTCAGTCAGGGATGCCCTACCCAGGAGCTTAGCTGCCCTAAGACTCACCACCTCCACCAGGGTCTATAAAGAGCCTGTCATGCATGGCCCTATGGACTCAGATAAACAGAGGCTGTGAGTCTGTGTCCCAGAGGAGCTCAGCAGCTGATGGGCCAAGGACAGGTGGTGGCCTTGGGGCTGGAGCCAGGCCCAGCCTTTGTTACCTACTATCTTCTGAAAGAGAGAAGAATCTGCTAAGCTGTCCAGGGTCCTCACATGGCAGGAGAGCCCTCCAACCCTGAAGGCTGCTGCACTGAATCCTTAGCTACCCAGGAGGCAGGGATGAGTGTCCCGATGTGTTTTGCAACCAAGGAAACTGAGGCTCAGTGGGGGCATGTGTCCTGCCCACAGTCACACAGCGGGACAGTCCTGGGGAGCCTGGATGCAAAAGCTGGAGCTCAGGCCTCTACCAATAAGCTCCTGAGGAGAAGCAGCCCCTACACAACCCTGACAAGAGGCCCGGGCAGCAGCTGCTCAGAGGCCCTTGGGGACTGACAGACCAGGCTGTCCAGGCTAGGGGAGGCTGGGACGTAAAGGCCGTGCTAATGTCCTGGCCCGACCCTGAGGTTGTGGTGACCATGGGTGGTCTGCCCCTCTTAGTCAGCCCCCTCCCTAGCTCTGAGGGAGACACAAAGTCCTTCCTAACCCACAGTGCACCAGTCCCAGACTGCCAAGCCTGGGGATCTGATGGTGACTGACAGGCAGGATTGCTGCTTTCAGGGACCCACTGGCAGGAGAGGGAAGGGCTGCTGTCTCTGGCTTCAGTGTGGAGGCTGGCCTGCACAGGTGATGCTGCAGAGAGGCAGGCACAGGTGGCCAAATGGAGGGCAGGGACTGTGGGGTCTTATTCCTTCTCATCCTTCCAAGTCATCCCCAAGATGACCCACTTACTCCAATGACAGTGACATTGCTCAGGGCTCCCTCATCAGCCTTCACCCTGTCCCTGATCCCTTGGTACTTCTCTAGGTCTCAGGACTACCTGGGAAGAGGAACTCTGAATGAATAACTGGAGGTCCTTAAGGTGGGGGTGGAGTAAGGGGGCTGGAAGAGCACATCTGGGGCCAGGGATAAGTAGATGGCATCAAGTACTCTGAAGGATTAAGAGTTCAGCTGAACATGGTATTGAGGTAAAGGGGTGGAAGTCAGGCTCAGATTTGTGAGAAAAGTCTCCTAGCAGGCAGGATTGTGCAGGTCTTGGAAGGAGATGGATGAGGGCCTAGAACAGTCCTTGTGGCCAAAGCAAGGAAAGCAGGGAGGGTGAGAAGGGCAGGGTATAGCCACACAGGGACTCTCTACATCTGGGGTTTCTCTCAAGGGCACTGGGGAGCCATGGGTGAGGTTTGAGCAGGGGAGTGCTAGGGAAGGTTGGTTTTGGAGAGGTCCCTTGGGCTCCTGGGGAAAGGATTAAAGGCCTGGGTGGGTCTTATGTAGAGAAGACCGGACAGGAACAGGTCCTTGTAACAGGCACCCTGCTTGCAGATTGGACAGCCGACACTGCTGCTGTATGTGGATGCAGGCCCTGAGACCATGACCCAGCGACTCCTGAAGCGTGGGGAGACCAGTGGCCGTGTGGACGACAACGAGGAGACCATTAAGAAGCGGCTGGACACCTACTACAAGGCCACCGAACCTGTCATCGCCTTCTACGAGAAGCGTGGCATTGTGTGCAAGGTGGGCCTCCTGCTGGCCCAGCCTCAATGCACTGTGACCTCGGGCCAGCCCTCTTCCCCAGGACTTGGTTTCCCCGCTGGTTCAATGGGAGGCCACTGTCCACCATGGCTGGTGCTGGGGACCAGGCATGACCTCTGGGGAAGTCGGCCCCCTGCCTTGGCGTCCCAGCCCTCATGACCTGTCTCCCCACAGATCAATGCTGAAGGTACGGTGGACAATGTCTTCTCTCAGGTCTGCACCCACCTGGATGCCCTGAAGTAGCCATGCAGAGCCTTCCCCCAGCTCAAGTCACCCCACCCCCGCCCTGATCCAAGGCTGTCCTGACCCAAGCCCAGGGCCTCCACCCTGCTGGGGTGTGCATAGACAGAGGAAGCCACTGTGTCCCATTTCATGGACAGCTGAGCACTAAAGAAATTTCCAAGGACATTTGTTTTTACTCCTTTTTTTCCAACTGAAGCTGATTCATTAGCTGCACCCATGCAGCCTGAAGCTCCAGCCCCTCTTCCTCCTCCTCCAGCTCTGGTGGGAGCCCCGGGCCCTTCTCACCAGGCTGTGCTGGCCCAGGCTGTGGTAGGCCTGGGGGCCCTACAGCAACAGAAAGGGTTGATCCTAAGGTTTCATGTTCAGGCAGTGCTGGGCTCCAATGCATTCCTGCTGTGTGGCCTTGGCCCCGACCCCTTGTTTCTCTGAGTGACTGGCCTGTAGCAGGGAGTGAGGCCATGGGCTATGGGGCTCCTGGGCAGAGGGTGTAGCACATGTCTTGTCCTCATGGGCAGTGGATAGGTCCCCTGAGGGGGCAAGAGCTCTAGGGTCTGCAAAGGGCATGCATCTGAGTGGGGGAGTCCAGGCCAGGGATGCCTCCCGGAGGAGGGCTAAAAGGCTCTCCCCAGTGGCTCTGCCCAGGTCCTACCTAGCCCACCCTCTGTGCAGTTTCAAATCTAAAACAGGTTCCATGCCCTGTGTTGTCCTGTTCCCCTGTTCCCTGGCACCTTAGTTTAGGACAAGAACACGTTGAATGAGGGGTGTGGGCTGTCAGTGACCATGATCACAGGAGCTGGGGACCAGAGTAGCCTGGCCAGAGTACAGGCCTGGAATGTGTTGGAGACACCAGGGTCCCCTGGGAGAGCTGGCTTCCCTCTTCTGTTATCTCTTACTCTTTGACCTTATCCCCAAGGAGGGCTCAATTTGGTGCTCACCTCTTCTCAACGCCTGTTCCAGTCTGAGTGGGTTCCCTTCAAGGTCAAGAGGGCCTTCAGCGGCCATATCTGCCTAGAAGGGTACATGCCCTTGGGGCTGGATGTGCTCGTCACACATCCCCTTCTGTTGACAGCCAGTGGGGACTGCTTTTCCATTTGGTTATTTAAACTTTCCTTTAAAATAAATGTGTTGAAGTTACAAAAGGCGAGTGTATTGAAAGAACACCAAACAGATGAACGGTAGGATGGGGAGAACACAGGCACCACCAAGTGTGTTGGGCGAAGCCTCCGGAGTGAAGCTCTCTGCCCTGCCCCTCTGTCTCCCACGTCGGCCTCCGTGAAGCAGCAAGTTCAGGAACCCCAAATCACTCTGTGACCTCCCACCCCTCAGTGTTGCAGCTGTCAAATTGGGCATGTGCAAATACATGTACACACACACACACACACACACACACACACACACACACACACCCCTCTTCTGAATCAGGCATGAATGGAGAAACACCAGAGAGAACAAAGAGCTAGAGAAATCCACCTGACAGAATCATCGAATTATTTAATTATAATTTCATTAATTCAAGTGAGTCATGTTTTTTGAAAACCTAGCCTGACCCAAATTATCAAACTCTTCATCACAGATTCACTTAAAAAAAAAAAAAAAGGTACAAAGGGCCTGGCACCAGTGGCTGATGCCTGTAATCCTAGCTTCTTGGGAGGCTGAGATCAGGAGGCTCTTCATTCCAGAAAAGTCCAGGCAATAAAGTTTGTGAGCCCCTAGATCAACGGAAAAAAGCTGGGTGTGGAGGTACACACCTATCATCCTAGTGAAGGCAAGAAGCCTAAAATAGGATCACAGTCTAGGCCTGCCTCAGCAAAAAGTGAGATCCTATCTCAAAAAATAACCAGAGCAATAAGGACTGGAGTCATGGCTCAAGGAGTACAGTACCTGCTTAGCAAGAGTGAAGCCTGAGTTCAAAATCCAGTATGACCAAAAAAAATTACTATAACTGTCCCTTGGTATCTGAGGGGTTCTGTTCCAGGGCCCCCACAGACACCAAAATTCACAGATGCTCAAGTCTCATATAAAATGGAGGAGGGTTTGCTTAAATTTACCCTCACTCTCCTGTGTACTTTGTCACCGGTTGGTTATTTTTTGGAATACAGTGTAAATACTATATAAATAGTTGTTACTGTATTGTTTAGAAACTAATGACAAGGTAAGTCTGTACATGTTCAATACAGAAACAATTGTTTTCTGGAGATGGGGTTGTCCTGCTGGCCTCAGACTCCTGGGCTCGAATGGCCTTCATGGCTTCAGTCTCTCAAGTAGCAGGAACGCTAGGGATATGTTACCGTGTCTGGCTAAGATGCAGGGGTTTTTTCTTGAACATTTTTGATCCATAGTTGGTGAATGCATGGATATGGAACCCACGGATAGAGAGGGCAGGTTATATCTATCTACCTACCTACCTTATAACATCTATCTAACATCTATCTGTCTAGATGTCACCTATCTAGACATGGATGTAGACATCCTCTGTACTGAAAATTTCAAAGCACAAAAAGATTAAAATCACCATCCCATCTGTGCCACCATAAACCTTTTTTGGGGTCAGGCATAGTGGCTCATGCTTATAATCCCAGCTATTGAGGAGGTGAAGGTAGGAGACTCAAGGTCCAAGGCTGGCCCAAGCAGTTAGCATGAAACCCTTGAAAAACAAGCTAGGGAGTGGCTCAAGTTGTAGAGCACCTGCCTAGGAAGTGTGCGGCTCTGAGTTCGAATCCCAGTACCACAAAAAAGCCTTCCTTTTGAGTGTTTCTTCATGTTATTCAGTCAGCAAACACTAAATTAACCTAAAACATTAGCCAGACAGAGCTCATATGCCCCCAGCCGCTGCCATGTGACTCATATTCTGAGGGCAAACACAGCATTCCATCACAGCTACTCCACAAGACAATGAAGGGAGGCTGAGTATACCGTGCTCTGAGGAACCTAGCAGTGACCGTTCCTTGAACTGGGGCCTTGATGATACCTAAGAGTTGAGCATGGAACAGTATGGAAGGACAGAGGAACAGCTCTGTAGAACCATAGCGGTAGAGAGGGCCTGTTGGGAGTGGGGACTTGAGGAGGGGCTGGAATGTAGGTAAAGGGGGTGCAGTAGCAAGAGAGGAGCCTGGTGAGTGGTAGGAGCCAAACTTGCAGGGCCTTGAATGCTGACATAAGTGTCTGGCTCTTCTCCTAAGGGTAATAGGAGGCTCAGAGAGAGGTGGCTTTTGGCTGGAGTGGAGCTCAGTGGTACAGCACGTGCCCAGCAAGAACTGCAGGACTGGGGTTTGAACTCAGGGCCTCACGATTGCTAGGTAGGTGCTCTAACACTTGAGCCACTCCACCAGTCTTTGTTATTTTAATGAAAAATTTCAGACAAACTGAAAATTGGAGAAAAATGGTAGTGAATACACCTGCACTCATTTCTGACATTGAGCAACTGTTGACGTTTTTCCCCAGCTTCCTTCCTTGTTTTATTTTTGCCAAAACGTTTTGAAGTAAGTTACAGCTGTGGGTCTGGGGGATGGGGCTCCTTGGTAGAGCTTGGTAGCAATGGCCAGGCCCTGTGTGCCTTACCTGTCACTACAACTAAACTAAGTTACAGGTATGAAGAAATTTCGTCCCTAAAGTATGACTTCAGGATAACTCTAAAGAACAAAGAACAAGCCAAGCACTGCTGGCTCACACCTGTAACCCTAGCTACTTGGGAGGCTGAGACCAGGAGGATCTCAGTTCAAGGCCAGCCTGGGCAAATAGTTCATGAGACTCTATCTCCAAAAATAAGAGCAAAATGTACTGGAGGTGTGGTTCAAGCAGTAGAGCGCCTGCTTTGCAATTGGGAAGCTCTGAGTTCAAATCCCAGTCCCCCCCCCAAAAAAAGGAATAAGGACATTTTTCTAAATAACCTCAGCGGACATCTTGATTAACGCTGTTTTGGACAGGCAACGTTCAGACCACGTGCAGTTTTCCCATTTCCCACCAAGTGTGTCTTGCAACTGGTTTGTCGTAACCAGGATGTGATTCAGGACCACAAAGTTGTGTTCTTTGTGCAGTGCTGGGCACTTAGACTCTCAGGGGCCTCAGTAAAAGCAAGTGCTCTCTACTGAGCTACACCCCCAGCCCTGTCCCAGCTCTCCCCACGTTTTGTGACATTAGCTTGTGAAGAGGCAGTTATCCTGCAGACAGTTCCTCCTTCCAGATTCATCTCTGGCTTCTTCCTCGTGTTATGACCCTCTGAAGTTCTGGTACATTCGTGGCTAGTTGTGAGGGCTTTGTAGGTTCACATTAAGCCTGTGGAATAAGAAGCCCTGGTAGGTGAGGCTCATGGAGAGAACCAGACAGGAAGGTCCGACTTACAGGGCTTCTGGTTTATTGCACATGAATCTCCTTCAGGGAGACCCTGCTCTTCAGAGAGAGGAGCAGAGGGGACCAGAGGTGGGAACCCAGAGGGGTGGCAGGGAGGCCCTCTTTAGGGTTGATACGTGCTTCGCCCCCTGCTGGACTCTAAGAAGGTCGCTATGCTATCACCCTTTTTTTTTTTTTTTTTTTTTTGGTGGTAACTGAGGTTTGAACTCAGGGCTTCACACTTGCCAAGCAGGTGCTCTACCACTTGAGCCACATCTCCCGATCTCAGCCTCCCAAGTAGCTAGGATTACAGGCATGAGCCACCAGCACCCGACTCTCACATTCTTCTGATCTCTAGAGACACTCCAGGCAGCAGCTTATTCCAAGGTGCCAGAACATTCTAAACACCCAACAGGATTAATGCCTCTATTACCTTAGGGTCTCCAAGGGGGAGTGCTCCTGAGCAGGCCTGGCTGGGGTGGTGGCCTCAGATGCCCCCCTCCAGGACTGCATCCCCATGTCTTGGCCTCAGGGGCCCTGAGGGCTTGGCCGGAGGCGCTGAAGTGGGAGAGGAAGGAAGCAGGGAGCAGAGGAGGCCAAGGCTGTCGCCTCCCAGCCGCGAGAGGGGCCTCGAGTAAACAGGAAGGCCTGGCGGCTCCACGATGGGGGGGCTTTGGAGGGGCGGGGTCCAGGAACCCCACTGGACATGCGCGGCCTGCAGGCACAGGGCTCCCCTGTTGGGGAAGCACACCCAGAGATGATGTATGGCTTGCCCCAGGTCACAGAGCAGCCAGACCGTTAACTGTCTTTTCCAAGTCTACCCTCTTCCTGGGGTTCTA